ACAGGATTTTGAGGTTTTTTTTCATTTCAAATTTCATTTTTTCTTTCATTTCAAACTTCATACCTTTTTAATTTCAAACTTCATTTTTTTTCATTTCAAACTTCATTTTATTTCATTTCAATAATTCCAAAAATATAATTTTTGATGCCATTGACGGACGATCCTTCGAAACGCTCGCATTACAATAAGCTGCACAGAGAACTTATATAATCATATAAGCACTCGCGATTACATTCGTATTAAACTAAAAATTAGGCCAATACGAACTCGATATCATTTTCTCGCTGCTGCGCGCGCGTGGACCATGCATGCGCTATCGCATTTTGCTACTTTCATTTCGACGTTTTAAAGTCATCATGCATCTTCCCGCAGCTGCTAAGGTGGTTTTCTATAAGTCCACCTTAAGTCGTTAAAATTCACACGCAAGTGACAACTAGGAATTTTTCATCAAGAAACCTCGAAAACGCCCTCATAAGAGCTGTGGGAATTTCCTGTTATCATGCATTGTCGAAAAGAGTGAAATGTCACTTGTTGTGTGAATATACTAGGTTAGACCACCAGGAGGATCCAATCACATGCAGCATGCACATGCATTAATCATGCATTACCCTAATCAGTATACAATATAGTATATACCTCAACCAGCTTCTGCTTGTACACCCGTCTCGTCGTCCATCATTTGATCCTGCGACGATCCTTCATCATCTGATCCTGCGACGATCCTTCATCATCTGATCCTGCGGCGATAGTTCATCATCTGATCCTGCGACGATCCTTCATCATCTGATCCTGCGACGATCCTTCATCATCTGATCCTGCGACGATCCATCATCATCTCATCCTGCGACGATCCATCATCATCTCATCCTGCGACGATCCATCATCATCTGATCCTGCGACGATCCATCATCATCTGATCCTGCGACGATCCATCATCATCTGATCCTGCGACGATCCTAGAGAGGAATGTCACTGTATAAAACACTCAGGATAAAATGATAACTCAAAAAAACCGATTGTATACTGACTTGTGAAATCTCCTACGCCACTCGTCCAAAGCCTTCGCATTGCGCACGCAAATACAATAAAATGCCATGCACGTTTTGTACGAAATATTCGTCGTTTTTCGAATTGGTCTTGAGAGACCTAAGCACTCGACTATCATCTCCTTCTAGAAATACAAATTCTCATGCATTTTTTATGTTTTAGGTGCTCTCTGAGCAATATTTTTGTTCCGGACTATTGTCGTTCAAGATGGAGAAACTACAAGTGATGGGGCCCCAAATCACTTGTATTTTCTCCGCATGCGCTTGACACGACCAGACTTCATGCACAGGCGGAAAACTTGAAAATGAAGGAGGTAAACAGAAGAGTGTTCAGCCTATCTCAGCCAACAAAGCCAAATCCCATGCAATTTTACTCATGCATATTTTCACCGAAATCAAATTGAGTTTTGTATTTGCGTGCATGGCAAGCTCCCCAGGCAGCTCCGACATCTCTTTACTCCGACGATCTAAAAAAAACAACCTCCGTATTAAAACAAAACAGTTCATGGCCATATAAAGCCTAGTTAAAGAGACTTGCTTTCCGAGTATTTTTTGGCTTGTGATAAAACTAATTGACGTGGGAAGCAATAGTTTAGTCCAAGTTTTGCCCACTCTGTACAAACGTGTTATTTCAAGTCACAAATGCAAAATGCACATATATTAATCGAACAATACCTATTATTCGCTGCGAGCAAGCGTTTGTTTCTCCTTCCCCATCTTTCGGCGCCGTAGTTCGTTCCCTGAAAATCAAATAAGCAAGGAAAAACTAAATTAAAGTAACAGCTCACTTGCATTTGACATTTTCAATCGAAATATACAAGATATAGCAATGAAAATCGGCAAGAGAATATGACTCCTCTCGCTCACGTCTTCCCACGCTATTCAAATCAACACAGCGATCAGTCCATGGCTCCTTTTCGACCTGTCGTTAATTCAGATTCTTTCAACAGACCAACGACCATGTACCTGAGCAAAGATTCTTCCAACTTTTTCCTAAACTTCTTCGAATAATCCTTCCTCTTTTCCAAACCAAGTCTGACTCTGTTCTCGAACTCTACCACCTTTTATAACCTGAAAAACATTCTAACGGACAATGCACTTTATTGAGCCATGTCAGTGGTCACCTAACCGTAAGGCCTGTTTCAAACATTGTGCTTTTGATATGCTGAACGCATAAACGACAATAGATAATGAGGCATCCCAATTGATTAACTATTGTTTTTAATGTGTTCGGCACAACCCTCAGAGTTTTTTACTTTGGCTTGTCATGTACTGATCCTCAGAAATATTAGGAGTAAGTCCTCCAGGAATTTAATAGAGCTCAGTGGTGGCGTCACTTCATACGTCACGTTTTAACATTTTCAATATGGCGGACGAGAGTGAAGAATACGAAGATCCCAAAGAATTATTAAATTTACAGCTTTCTGAAATAGAAATCCTTCAGTCAATGTTTGCCGAAGAGAAGGAGTTGTATGTAGATCGCTCAAGTTTAGTTGAAGTACAAGATTACTTGTCAGGTAGCACAGATATTAAACCAAAGCGAGTGGCATTTTGTCTGAAACTCTTCTCAGTCCTTTGTAGTGACAATTCTTCTGGCCAGCATTCGAGTGAAGATTATCTAGAAGTGAATTGCTGCTTGCCTCAGAAATATCCACAAGAAACTCTAGAGGTTTTTGTTAAGTCTAATTCACTTACTAGAGAAATTCAGAAAGAGTTGAATGAATCCATGACTGAATTTCTATCAAGCTTAGAGCGAGGTGAACTATGCGTTGTGACGATCATTCAGTGGCTTCAAGACACTTGGCCTGAATATTATGTAAGAAGCATACAGCAGATGAACTGTAAAGAAGTGGAAGTTGATAGAACGACAAAAAGAGAGAAAAGCAAGGATGAGGAGTTGTCAAGAATGTGGTTATATATGCATCATATTTACAGTAAAACTAAAAGAAAACACATCCTTGACTGGGCCCATGACTTGAAATTGACTGGGTTTTCTTTGCCGGGTAAACCAGGTGTTGTTTGTATCGAAGGCAATGTCAAGGACACCGAAGATTATTTCAGTAGATTGAGGCGATTGAATTGGAAGAAAATAACATGTCGTCACAACGAGAAATGCATCAGCGAGCGAAAATTTGAAGATTTTAAAGAATTGGTTTTTCATGTCCATGGTGCTGGTGATGATCGAATGAACATGGGAGAATTTTTTCAATTTCTTCTCAAACGTGAACTAGGGGAGATGTTTAAAATACTGTTTGGCATTGAGGGGAAATTGAATCAGTAGTGTTACTATGTTAGATGAATTACCTATGTTAGCATAAATAATAAAGAAATCTTTGAAAAATACTACTCAGACTTCTGATTTAATATTGTTTGTGTGTTTTTTTTCATGCACGAGAACGCAGAGTTGACTGTCTGAATGTCTTTGTCGCTGTTTTACTGCTGTAAGGTTGATTAAGATGTTTGATGTTTATGAATGATCTCTGGTATTGTTTAATTCAGAGACTCAGCCATGCAGAGACTGGGGAGAGTATTCAGGTGTTAATTAAGGTGGTTTTTAGTCGATATAAATTTTTTTTGAACCATATCCGTTCCATATATGTTTAATAACAGTGTTTTTTTTGTATGTAAAAGAAAAATTTGGAAAGCACGCCAAAAAAAAAAATGGGGAAAGAACGTAAAAGAGATCATCCAGCCTATGCCACAATCTAACCTGGTTATACAACCGGCTGCAATATTCAGCATAGTTACAACTACGAAAGGTGCAAGGCGGTTGCTATAGGAAGAACTCCCCCCCATAACTCACATCTTAACGGCCGTCTAAGGGGGAGATGCACTACGGCCCCCAAACCATGATGTATGTGCACCTAACCGTTACGTCTCAGTGAGAAACAGAGTATGCATCGCCACAAGCCTAGCGTCATAGACGAATCAGCTACAGTGGCTAGCCCTGAGAGCGAAGATAAATTTAACGTATTTAAGCTTTTCCTGGTCTCGGGAGGCGGTCCTTAGCAAGTATATACATAAAAAACGACTAATAAGGCACACGCTTGGAAATGACAAGATTTAAACGCCTAAACGTTTTTTTAAGTGTTTTTAGCGAGAAATTTTAGTGTTTTGATATTCTTTTAGTGTTTTGAAACAATCCTTGTTGGTTTTTAACTCAATATAAATGACTGAACGGCTTAGTTTGCTAAAATGTTTTGCTAATTTTGTGTTTAGTATAGCCGCTTGATTCGCCGGTACAATTTGGGCCTAAATTGTATGTATTTATTTCACAAGTTTTTATTTTTTATCTTCGTTGATTCTGGTGTATCCGGGGAATCATTAAAGTTCGATCTTACTTCTTAATTTCTTTTACTAACTATCCATGGCAGTGTTGCCAGGTCAGTTTCGCCAAAAATCCCAATATATCTCCCAAAATATTCCAAGATTCCGGCCTATTTCCCCCCAAAAAAATCCCAAGATTTTTTTCTCATCCAAGCGCTAACGAAGCCCGGGCTGCCCTGCACAGTTAACTGTGGTTCTAGATCATCCTACTTCTAACGAGAGGCTTGCCTTAGGTCGAAAATCGAGAAGAACCTTTCTTGTATATTTCTCTGTATTCTAAAAAATCCCAAGAAGAATCCCAAGGTCTCATTCAAAAAAAAAATCCAAAAAAAACACCCAACAACCTCGAAAAATCCCAAGATCTTGGGATAAAATTCAAATTACACAAGAGCCTTGGGAGGCCTGTTAGTGTATATATGATTATGCAATCAAACTGAGGAAGAAATATATGGGAAAACAAACGGTTTGGATGAGGTCTGGCAAGCCATATCGTTTGTTTTCCAATATATTCCGACCGAAGTTTGTGAAGCATAATCCCATGTAAAATCCCAAGGTTGGCAACACTGCTTCTGCACACGTCCAAAAACATGTTAGGATTGGGTACGAACATTCGAACTGCGAATTTTGATTTAATTGTTTACATTTTGTTTACATTTTTTAGCTAGTGCAAAGTCTGCAAAAATGTTTATGAAATATTTTAAAAAATCACTACAAAGAAGAAATTAGTTGTATCGAGAATATGAATACCGAAGATGTGTTATTGATAAGGCTTATCGTGAACTTCAACAAGCAATGGATCGGTTAGACCAAACCACAAGATGGTCATTTTGGGCATTTGTTATTGTCGTGGTTTGTCTATTTTATCTGAAGTTGGACGGTTTTCGTAATGATGGCAAGATTGAGGATAATCTACATTTGTGGATGAAAAAGAACAGCTTATCATTTCTGGTGAAAACATTTCATAGAGAAGGTATGGCCGGAGTTGGTTATAAATAAATACCACTTGTTATACCATGCATGGCAATTAGCAATGGTAAAGTTTGTTTTATATTTTTTATTTGTAGGTATCACTTCATTTGATAAACTCTTAAAAATTGATGTTAGCTATTTTATCAAACAGAACAATTTAAACCTCAAACAAAGGAAGATTTTTATAAACAAAGTAAATATGTTAAGAGAAAAAGAGTTAGAATTGAAATTATGGCTTGAAAGCAAAGGTCTGGGAAAGTACCTGGGGGGATTTTTAAAACTTGGTCATGTTGATCTGGAGCATATCCAGAAGAAATTGTTGGGATCTGAGATTAAAGATGTGATAAGCAGTATGGATGGCTCTTTTGCTGACTACAAGTTACTTGTTGAAGTTATTATAGAAGTCAGAAGGAATTCTAGTCAGGGCTGGAGGATTGTCTCTGTGTTTTATTTATTTTTTCAAACCTTTATGTTCCTATTTAAATGGATATGTAAGTAGTTTCTATATGAGAGCTGCTTCTTCCTTGGATTTCTACAAAGTGGTTAATATTAACATTGTAATTCCACATTTTAGTTCGACTGTTGTTGCTCCTGGTTGGATATAAGAGTTACCAGTATGTTGTATCTAGATACAATAGCTTACATAGCCGTGATATAACATTCTTGCAATATTTTGTTGGCTACTATCTTGATCCTATGTCCTGTCAGGTGGAATGGTTGCAGAGAGATAAAACTGCAGTTGGAAGTACCGCATCATTCCTTGTTAAGGTGAAAGTCCTCTAATTGTTTGAACCATTCTTGTGCCTCATAGCAGGTCAGAGGGAGTTTTAATTCCTACGTTTAGGCCTGTAATTATTAGTTGGCTATAGTTTTTTTTATTCATATTTATCCAAATGAACAACTAAAACATCCAAGTTTAAATAGATTGATTTGAAATGAGCGTCTCACTGAGAAATTATCCTTGATTTTAGCTCTACCACAAAAGTCGGTTTCTCACCTATACAATCACAGGAAAAGAAAACGTCCTTGTTGAGATTAGCAACAGACTTGGAGCTAAAGAGTGTCTCAAAGAAAAAGATGAAAAAAGAAAGAATGCTTATTTTGTGTCCTTTCATCCTAAAGTCTCAGGACGTTATAGCATCTCAGTGATGGTTAATGGAAAACATATTCTTGGGAGTCCATTTCTCAGGGTGTTTAAACCAGGTGCATAGCACAACACTTTAACATACAACTTGGACAACCTTGCAATAAAGTTGCAAACTGTAAAACATGAGCTGGATTAAGTTAAAAAGGGTTTTCGTCAGAGGAGACTTGTATTAATTGTCTCATTTCCAACTTTACAGGTCCTGTTGATATGTCAAAAGTGTCCATTATGAATGGCATCAACACAGTTGTTGTCAAACAGGGCGTTTATTATCCTCTCAAGATCGAAACACGCGATAAGTATGAAAATCTGTGTGAACTGGAATGTACAAAAGATATGTTTGAAATCACTGTTAAACAGGTGAAGTATTGGATGATATTAGGACTGAAAGATGTGGTCAATACGGGCTCTCTGTGGTAGAAACCTTTGTATTATAAGGCTTTTCTCATTCAAGGTTGGTTCAGACAATATCACTGTGGATTCTGAACCGATTTATTTACCAGAAAATAGCGGAGGTAAAAACATGTTGCATATTAAGTTGGAGGATGTAGGATGCTTCCATGGTGTTGTCACCTGTCAAGGAAAGTCTATCATAAATGGTGCCTTCGATATTGTATCCTTGAACCGTAAGTGGTTAGTTTATGATATCTCCGATGATATGACTCGTGTGCTATTGCATGACAGCACTGTGATGAAAATCACATATCATTCTAGTTAAATTTCGTGATTTCCAGAGACTGATATGGAAGCTCTTGAAAAAGCAACGATGAAGGATTACTGGCATCAGACCTGGTATGAAGGATATCTTTTAACGTCTGATTATCAAGAAGTTAGTTCAGGCAAAGACTGGACCTCCTTTCTGAAATCCAATTGCCGCAAGATATATTTTTATTTTTCATCAAGAGTAAGTTATACAAAGTAAAAGAGCGTTTTCGCATTCTTAAAATGCAATTATGCAGCTTCGGTAAATCCGTTTTTTTTTCTTTGACTTTAGCAACTTTCTATAAAAGAATTTTATTTGAAAATCATCCCATACAAACTCTATTCGTTTCGCATCTCTCCTTCAACGAAGGTATTGATTTTCTATTTATTTTGAACCTTTTCCATTTCAGTATTTGTCTTCTTCGTGATACAACTTTCTCAATCTCAGCATTCCACGCGACGGATGTAAAGTCTTTGGGTTGAAACCCTCGTCAGATTTTGTTGCGCTATTGCTAGTCAAGACTGACTTGTTTAAATATACTGTAATACCAGCGCTTCTAATCTTTTTAAAGAAAAGCAACTCTGTTAAATTAATATTTTACCTTGTCTTTGCCCAAGGTGATATTTCCTGAAAATGAAGAGCGTAGAGTATTTCTTCTGGACGATGGAATACAATCCCGCGTTGTTTTCACATCGGCTAAAAGGGATCTTATCATAGCAACGTTCGCGCGATATTTGCTTCGGAATATTGGTAGGTAAACGTCAGATTTATAAACGTATAATATACCGTTATTTCTGATAAAACCATCTTTCATTTTAAGGTGGAGCAGAGTCATTTCAGGACAAAAGGCGTTTCTTTTACAAAGCTTTGCAATCACATCATAGCAAAAATAGATCAACCCAAACGAAATATGTCACGGTAGTAATCGACCGAGGGAATATCCTAGACAGTGTAAGTTGATTAACTACTTTTTAAATGTATATGATCCACGCTTATTAATATCCTTTATCTATTTCTTTAGTCTTATGAAGCAACAAAAGGCTTCTCCATATCCAAATGGTGCAGACGTTTCTATATAAAGTTTAAAGACGAACCAGGTAAACACAATTTTGAGCAATTTCTCCGATTTTCACAGTACTATTGATATGTTATTAAATTACCTGGGAATTATAGTTCTTCAGGCTTTTCAAGAAAAGATAATGTCTTAAATAAAATCTTACCAAACCCTAATCTTATTCTTGATTTAGGGCAAGATGCTGGAGGTTTAACACGAGAATGGATCTCAGTTTTATCAAGAGCACTATTTGATCCTCAAAATGAGTTATTCACACAATTCAACAAAGAAGATAAACAAGCTCTGGTATTGTAACCATGTTCCTTCGTGCTATTGCACGTTTTTAAATAGGACGTTGAGGCGTCTGATCGTTGAGAATTCTGATCTCTTTTTTTTTAGATATACCCAAATCCACATCGACCATCTCAATTAAAACTGAAGTATTTTGAGTTTGCTGGGGACGTTTGTTGGAAGTGTATTTTGAGTCCTCGTGTGGGGGCATATTCGCAGACTGAACGTGAAAGCAAGATTTATGAGATCATTTCTTGCGCAACTCATTGGCCTTCGTGTTAACTACAAGGTGAGACCAGATGATGTAAATTATAAACCAGATTATTCAACACTTGCTTGAGCAGGTCGAATTAATTTGTTTCATTCAAAAGTATTTCAAGACGGACGATAAACAACTGTATTCAAGTAAGATCGAATATATTCAAAAGGTCGATCCAGAAGATCTCAATTTGTTTTTCTCTGAAGAAGAATATGACAGAAATGGAAAGCTTGTAAAGGTTAAGTTAAATAATTATCAGAAGTGATTCCGTTTATTTATCGTCCCTCCTAGCTTAATTCATGTGGATTTCGGAGCCTGTCCTATGATTAATTATCTCCTAATATTTCTTATTTTATTTCCAGGAAGTTGAACTAATTCCAGATGGAAGTAAGATTGAGGTGACGACACAGAACCGCATGAAATATTTAGACGCGCTTGCCCAGTATAAACTTCACACTGGGATCAAACATGAGGTTGAGGCATTTATTAAAGGTAGGACATAAATTCGCAAATGCCAGAAACTTTTGCTTTGGCGGACGTTTCAGCAAGTACGCTGCTCTAGAATTGACGTGTGTATTCTTGCACGTTTGATTTTCAGGCCTGAATGAGCTTATCCCAGACAATCTTTTGACAATGTTTAGTGAACAAGAGCTAGAGGTAAGACATGAATAAGTGTAATCTTTTGTTGTTCTGTTATAAACCATTATTAATTGTGTTCAGTGTTCATCGTTTTATTCAGCTTCTCATTTGTGGAACGAGTGATATAAGCGTGAACGATTTAAAGAATAACCACAACAGTTTCAACGAGCATTCATCATTTTCAAAGGTATTTTTCACAGGCATAATTTTAACCGGGAACTTTTAGTATAACTGGTTTAGTGAAGAATATCATCGCTACTTTAGGTTATGTCATGGTTTTGGAAATCAATCGCTTTGTTCAATCAGGAAGAGTTCGCTCGTTTACTGCAGTTTACGACAGGAAGCTCCCAACTTCCACCCGGAGGATTTGCGTGTTTAACTCCGAAATTCTCATTTTCTTCATCACCAATAAGGAACGGTTTACCCAGAGCACATACATGGTTCGTTCATGCCAGTCATTTGATATCCAAGCAATTGTTCTGTGAGAGGTTTCGACTCCCGTGTTTATCCATCCCTACCTCTCTTTTCTAGTTTCAATCAGCTGGTCTTGCCGGATTACACGTCATATGAAGAGTTTGATCGTTGTCTTCATCTGGCGATCACGGAGGGTTGCGAGGGGTTTGGATTTGATTAAACAACTAGGATATTCATACCCCTTAAATCTCAAGGATCATACTGAAGATACAATGATTATAAAGTTATATTTTTAAATATATATTTTTGAATATATTTTGAGTATAATATTCTACGGACGGAGATCAGTCCAGTGTTGATATAGTATATAGCTCAGTGGTTTGCATGGTATGGTGAAATCCAGTATGGCCGGCAAAGTCGACAAAAACTAAGGAATTAAATTCGTCTGATGAAGTTGCTTTCTTGTATATTTTTCGTCGCTTGAGCAATGTCTCGTGCTTGTTCGACGTGCGGTAGTAGTGATATAGATTTTGATCCATCCCGTGGCGATACTGTTTGTACAAAATGTGGCTCAGTTCTAGAGGAAAGCGCGATAGTTTCTGAAGTTGGTTTTCAAGAAACAAGTGCAGGAGGAACCAGTGTTATTGGACAGTTTGTTTCAAATGAAGGTTAGAAAAACAAGAATATGTAGGATATACTATTTAACATTTATATGTAAAATAACAGAATAATGTGGATAATTAGATGAGCCCCCCCCGGAACACTAGGGGGTATTATAGCCCACCATATACTGTCTCAAAGTTTAGGTTCAGAAATGCTACCATTTACCCTTGGTGTGTTGGTCCTATCAGAATGTCACTGTCTTCTCTTTTCTAGGCAATAAAGTTGGCCAGGGTTTAGGATTCAGGCCAGGCTATGGTAGAGAATCAAGAACTGTCACATTAGAAAATGGTACAGCATAAAATATCTGTAAAATACTGCATTATCAAATGTTCAATAACCATTCACTTTTCCCCAAATCCAATTGATTGCTGCAGGAAAAAGACGTCTGCAGGCATTAGCCAATCAACTACAACTGAACAATCACTGTGTTGAAAGCGCTTACATGTTTTTTAAACTGGCTGTGAGCAAGAGATTGACTAAAGGAAGAAGAACTGGCCATATTGCTGCTGCTTGTTTGTATCTTGTTTGTCGTACAGAGAAAACACCTCGTATCCTTAGTGTAGTGACTTGAAGAATCTGTGAATAAACTCATTTCAGTAACTCACTAGGAGAGCACTGCAACCTCAAAATCTTTGCTTGTCCTTAACCCAAAAAAAGATCTTCTCTTGGACTTCAGTGATGTCTTGCAGGTAGCTCAATAAAAAATATTAATTATATCATATTAAAAACAGCCTGATTCATTTGAAATTTATTATTAGAATTCTTTGTGTCTATATTTATAGGTTGATGTTGTCACATTAGGAAAGGTTTACTTAAAGTTGCAGCATGAGTTATGCATTAACTTACCTGTTGTAGGTAAGTAGGAGTTTTCTAGAAGAATACAGTCAAAAATTGGTGAAGAAAATGACTATAAGAAAATGACTTTTGCATTCTATTCTTTAGATCCATGTCTTTACATTCATCGTTTCTGCCATCAGTTTCAATTAGCGGAGAAGGAGAATGATGTTGCAAACACTGCCTTGCGATTGGTTTGTCGTATGAAACGGGATTGGATCCAATACGGTCGCCGTCCATCTGGTTTGTGTGGGGCAGCGATCCTGGTTGCTGCAAGACTGCATGGGTTTAGTCGAACAATTAAAGAGGTGATTATTAAGAGACAACCTTTTTCTATGTGGTTTAGCTTTAAGTCAATTGTTTGAAACCTAAATGAAATCATATTGTGCCACATCATGGTAAAATCTTTTTTTTGTAGGTTGTAAAAGTTGTTCGTTTAAGTAACACCACAATAAGAAAAAGACTTAATGATTTTAAAAAGACTCCATCAGGTCAGCTCACTGTAGATGAGTTTAACACTATCGATTTGGAAGAAGAACAGGATCCGCCATGTTTTACTGAGGCAAGGCAAAAACAAAAACAACAGCAATTGAATGAGATTGAAGGTATGCATATCAAAAGACCTTTCAGCTTCCAACAGTCAGGCATTAATTCTCAAGAGCCTAAGAATTGTCTTTTTTTAAAGGTATCAACAAACCAGGATTGGCTAGTGAGTTAGAAGAACTACGAAAGCAGATTGATGAAAGATTAGCAAAAACTAAATCGCGATGGAACTCAAAGAATTCATTTGATTCAAATGATGCAGACATAAGCTCTCTTGGTTCAACAATCTCTATCAATATGCCAAGCGAGGATAGCATGTTGGAAACAAGTGTTTCTACGTCCATACTGGATGACACAATGGATGCATGTGAGAAGGATGTGTGTGATCATGATGGAGTAAATAGGGATAAGGAGATTGAGGAAATTTCAGGAGGAAAGGAAGCAACAACAGAGGGAATTTTAGAAGAAAAAGAAAATGATTCTGCAGTGGAAGAACAGATAATTGATAACGAAGAAGATGGAAATGTTGAGAAAGGTGTTGATTAGTTGTGCTGAGCTACGTCACATTCCTAAACAACTTTCACCACTTCTGAATTAATTGTTTCACTTGGTCTCACTCAGTTCATTTTTCATTTTAGGTGCAGAAGAAGACAAAGAAGAAAACCTTGATGATCTTGATGATGATGAACTTGATAGTGTTAGTTCTCATCCTTCGACAAACTATTGTTGTGTTTTTTTCACTTCTTTTGCCTTTGTGAGAACAGAACATCTTGTATTAAAGTCATGTAAAATTATTTTTCAAGTTTATACTCGCAGACCATGAAGTTGAGGTCAAAACTAAAATTTGGATGGAAGAGAACAAAGACTATTTAGAGAAACAAAGAGGTTTGGATTCCCTAGTATATTGGTAAAAAACATTTCACTTAGGGGAAAATACCTTGTGTTAGAAATGTCAGTAGTCTGGTTTTCCATTCATTTTATAATAGAAAAAGAGGAAAGAGAGGCTGAAGAAAGAGAAAGAGAAGAAGCGGATCCAAATAAGAAGGTAGAGGAAGTAATATGATTTAAAACCTGCTCCTCTTTCAGGTCAGAGTTCAAAATGCTCATTTTTTCTTTTGTAGAAACGTCGCAAGCCTTACAAACGAAAACCCAAAGAGAAAGCAAACTCTGTTGGTGAAGCTGTTGAAAAGATGTTAATTGAAAAGAAAATTTCCCACAAAATCAATTATGATGTTTTACGCAATTTGAATAAAGAAAATGAACTTGAAAAACCAACAGAATGTGAACCTATTACACCAAGCAGCGAGCCTGTGGTTTCAAACTTGATTCAGACTGTTCAACCCTCTATACCAGTCAGATATACTGGACGAAAAAGGTAAATTGGTTTATGCTAAGATATTCCAAACTGGAATGTGATGTGCCATCAACTGAATATGCATGACAGAGACTGCCCAACAAAAGCAGGCTCATCAGCTTTTCAGGTTTTTGTTCTTCAGGGAATCAACAGTGTTTACATTTCTAAGAATTTGTTCTCCTGTTGTTTCAGAGACAAAAGTTTTCTACCAAAGTTACCAACCAAGAGAGTAAAGGCAAGCATGATTACAAGCAGAATTTCTTTATACAAGAACTCTTTGAATGTTTAGACAATACTTATATACAGAAAGCCCTGGTTTGAGAGCATTTTTTTCTGTCTTTAGTTTCTGGATACCACACTAGAGCGAAGCGCAGGGAGTATGGTCGTAGAAAGTGGTCCAGTGGAATATGCAGATCAGGATCATGATGAAATAGTTGAGGAAGATGAGGAAGACATACATTTGAGTGCAGCACAATTGATGGGACAAGAATATGGCCATGGTGAGATTTATCTTTCAACATTTTAGAGTACTGTAGACTTGTATTAACCAAACTTTCCTAGCTTGTTGCTTAATGCTACAAGGCATATAAATCATTGAATTGTTGGCAAGTTATGAGTGACAATCTTGCAGAAATGTGATGAATAAAATAACATCTTTGTTAAATAATTTTAGGCAATGTTGATGAATATGAGGACTATGACAATTATTAAGAATTCACGGAAAGAATGGTCCTGGATTTATGAGTGGAACTGTTTGACAGTATATCACCATTGCAATGAGAAATAATGCATATATTATATATTAATATATGAAATTTAGAATGAATTTATTAATATGACATACTATATTTATTTGTAATATTCTTATGACATGTATATACTAAGAAATATGGAATATTTTTTAGGTCTTTCAGGATCACACAATAAATTGACAATATTGAATTAAAAATGAAGTGCAATTTATTTAACTTCTAAAGAGACAACTCATTCAAAATAATTTTATCTATACTCTACTAATATATTTAACAGTTTTCAAGCGCACTTCTGACTTCCCAGCGCAAAGCTTGCCGTTTCTTTTCTGTTGGTGCAACATAATTATTGGGAACATAGGAACGTCTGGGTTTCTAGAAAATGAGAAGAAAAAGGTCTATGATTCAGGTCCTCAGTTTTGCATGCAGTGAATGCATTAAATTGCTTATATACTTTAAAAACAAGAAGATTTGGTTACCTCAAATGATTCATATTGCAACATTTTTTCCTATAAAGGGATACATGATGTATTTATGAATTTGACATCTTGCTATTGTATCAAGCAAATGTTGTTCGAGTTCAAATTTAATGGGCATTACAATTTACTTCACTCTTGCACTACAGTGTAAACCTCTTAAAAATATGGAAATTTTCAGAACAAGTTAGCATTCTTACCCTAGTAGACCATCGAAGGCTCTTGTGAGTCCTCTCACCAGGAACTTTATTTGATGACCATTCTTGCTTGAACTGATGGTATCTAATAACAAGAATTTGCAAACTAAATAAATCCTACAATATCTTTCTATCCAAATGAAAAAAAATGAATCAGAATTATGCACAGACCAAGCTAGGAAGCATCAGAAAATAGTTTTACCTGCTAACTGGGTCTGTCTTTCTAATGCCTTTAGTACCAGGATCTGATGTTCGTGGTCTGATAACTACGTAAAATGAAGGTGTGCTGATCAGTGAAGAAGCAAAAAACACTAAGGGCAGGAATTCGCATGTGGTTGTATATAACATAACATAATGGGATATGTTTCATTGGAATATAAGAAATTATGAAGGAGTTTTGACATACAGGATGGTAACACATTTCTATTTCTCCCCCATGGTTGTAATACTGATGAGCTTTCTTCTGACAAGTCTTCACTCTCAATGCTTTCAGAATCAGTTGTATTAATGTCTTCCTTTACTGGCAGCCTTTGTAACCTTTTCTCCACATCTGATATGTCTGTGACTGGAAGAAAACAAGATGACATTATGAAATGGGAGCATACTGTGATAAACTTGTATGTTAACAGACAATGATCCTAGCCATTACAGTAATTGCCTTATCTAGAATAGTCACTAGTCACTGGGTTGAAGAACAGTTGTAACTTTACCAGCTTCTTGACTGAATGATTCATCAAATACATGAGCTTTTCCATTCTTTCTTCTACAAAAGATATTCACAGTGCATTCACATCTTCAGGGAAGTTTAAAAGGTACTAAAATTTGAAGTGAATTCAAGGTACTGTCCTACCTGAGAACCTTTCGCTTTTGTGTCATTCTCAGGGATGTTGCATTCTGGTTTTCTTTGTCTCCCAATGCATATCTGTTATGCTCTGGAGTCTGAAATATAATGTGGTGCAGTTTTACTAGCTAATGTTCTTTCAATACAAGTCACTTATAATTTACTCACCTGTTCAAAACTATATTCATCATCGCTGTATACTGTTGATGTGCTGGCTTTGTTTGTTACCCTCTTCCCATTGCCATTCCCTGTTGTAAAAAGTTGCAATTTATATCTGAACTTGGTGATATCACAATTTGTTACAGTATTTAAGTCACCTACAGTATGATGACCATATTGTTAGCTTACCATTTTGTACATCTACTGATTGATTGCTGCTGGTTGAAGCTGGACTGTAGTTTGTAGTGGACTGCGGTGAAATATCACCTCTTTGATGAATATCTTTTTTTGTTTTATCAGAGGATATAAGTTTATGCAAATCTAGGAATCAAATTGTATACAAAATTTACTGACCAATCTGACAGAAATAAAAAGATAACTTTTCATACCATTGGAAAATTCCTTTAACGCTTTATCTGGTATATCATTATAACCAAGTTCGTCAAGTTTTGCTCGGATTTCCTCTTTTGTGAACTTCCATTCACGTTTTGCAGACCCCAAAGCAGCCATGACATCGCATTCACCAATTAAGACTAAATTTCCAGGATGATTTCAAACGATCAGAGGTATTCTGTGTATAAGAGAATAGAACAGATTCGTCGGAAGTTAAATATGAAGAAATATTGAAGAAATTACAACATAAAAAACCTTTTCTTCCGTTTGTTTATAACTAAATATGAAATTCAAACACTAGTTTCCAATCTTCCCGAAGGTACACGGTTCGGTTAGATCTGGGTGGATCTGGGTTGATCGGGGTAACATAGTTAGGTTTGGTTAGATCTGGGTAATATGGTTCGTTTTGGTTAGATCTGGGTAATATTGTTACGTTTGGTTGGATCTGGTGGATCTGGGTAATATGGAAAGGTTTGGTTAGGTTGGAAGGGTAACCAGAAGTAGAATAAATATGCAATTTTAGCATTTTACAATTGACTGCCAGAAAGCAGTATTATGGATATATTTTGTAGTGAATTCTTGGAGAAGTTGTTTTTGTAACTCGTCCAACTACAGCTAAAACCATGGCTCGAAATCTCGCGAAAATTCTGCCATCTCTACCGACTCTACGTGAATGGGAAATGCAAGGAATTTACAGCAAGTTTAAGAAACAATTAAAAAATTTAAATTATGGCAAAGTGCGTCAGCATTGTGTATTTGTACTGATTTGGTTTTACCACGAGGCGTGGCTATCTTATCAAACCGGAAACGTGTAATTTGCATCTCAAATTCTACAAGTCAAGTTAGTCAACAATATGAAAATTTAAAAGTTGACCGGTGTGCAGAAGAAAGCGTCGTACAGATATATTTTATATTTTGACATGTGCCCATTTTTTAAAATCTTTTTTAATACAAGACGTTTCTAAATAGTGTGAACTTGTACATGTGGTATACAAATCTTGTATAGTACGCAGTTTCTCGATTTCAATGGATATTTTGCATACGACAACTGTTTGACTGCTGTTTATGTCGGTGTCATTCAACAGGAAGTTTTCTATGGAGAAAGTGCCCGTGTGAATATTGCAATTGATGTGCACTTCGGATAGAGAATCTTAACATTGACTGATGAGAGTATGGGTTAGATTATAACAGATTAATATTGCACTGCACTGTGTCAGAATGGCGACCGACATCAACGAGAATATTGACACTAACAATGGCGAAAATTGTGACCTTTCTCCGCGAGTAAACGACAAAGATACAGATTGGAAAAGACGTACAGTTGAACTAGAAGAGGAATTATATTTATTAAGAGAAAGGGTGAATTCCCAGACAGGAAGAATACGCGAAGCTGTCTCAAAACGGGTATGAATGAATATTGTGGTGTTTATGGATGAATAGAATTGTCAATGTCAGAAATGATTGTAGCTTTTACTACAACACATGTCGCAATTATGCCTAGAAATTGTTCGTAAAATTTAGTAGAAAGTCATAAATCATATTTGTTTATTAAATTATGAGTAGTGTGGTCAAATTAGTTCCTGTATATTACTTCAGCACTTTGTCAAATTATTCTTTCATCTGAAATCATACAAACTTAGAAGCAACACAATAAGAATCCAGATTTATTCCAGACTGAAAAATGTAGAAAGAATTTTCGAATACTACAAGCTTGTAGCAATTGAAATTGTTTGCTGCAGTCATGCTAGAAATGAGATTAACTTAACAATTGAAATGAAATTTTCCTCCTAATGAATCGAAATGCTGTTTTATTTTAGCTCAAGCGATTTACCGCGTGGTTGGTTTTGCTTGTGCCACACGACAATTGTTTGCGAAGTTTAAAAACATTTTTAGTTTGGGACCCGTTGACTTTTAATTTTATTTTCACAAAATATTTGTCTGAAAAATTTATTTCCCGATTTTCCTGCGGATCATAGGAACAAGCGCAGACGTATTTACATTAATTTTTTAGCATCTTGAACCTTCCAAATTAAAATACAATGGCATTATATTGTGAAAGAAAACAAAAAATATACAATTGTTTGTTTCAAGGCGGGTTGACTTCTATGAAATAGTTTTTCAGGCTGCATTTCAATATTTTTTTGAATCTAAGAGACATAAATCTAGCTGTATGAAGTTTAAATCTTTTAATTTTTATACATGTTTACATTTAGTTTCTAATTATAAGATATTAATAATGCCTCATATCTCGCGTGTTGGTTAATCATTTTTATAAACACATGGGTTACCACCAGACACAGCTTGACCCATGGCCCTGACTTATGGCCTAAGATAACAAACATGAAATGTAGGCAATCATCCCTTCCATAATGATCTGCAAGACTGTTCTTGCAAAAAGTTTAAGTCATATTATAAATAGAAGGAAGAGAGGGGGTGGGTATGTTGTCTAGACTGATCATATTCAGAGTCTGTTTTATCCCTTTCAACACATTTATTATGCCACTTACTATACTATATGTGATCGCTATCATCGCTTGCAAATGCCAGTAATTGTTTCTATAATACATCACAAAAAAATACGATTACTTCTTATCTCTTATCAGCTATCTCAATATATTATAATTATTTTATTACATATGCAAGCTTGAGATTTAATCCTGTGCTCAAATTACATGAATAAAAGAATGCTTTCATTAAGATTATGTAAATTTGAATTTTGAATGGCATGCATCCAGCTTGATATAAAATTCACATTATGAATTTTCTCCAACTTTAAAGAACCAGAAGTAGATATTGTTTTTTTTGTTGTACAACAGCTCAAGATTGCTGAAGACAATGCAAAACAAGCAGAAGAAAGAGCTGAAAACTTATTAAAAAAGGTTGAGATGTACTTGTGATGAGTTTCTTTTCCATTACAATTATGTAAACAAGTGTTTAAAATTTCAGATGAAAGAACTTGAGGAAAGAACTCTTTTTGCTGAAAGTAAAGTAACCAGATGCTATGAAAGGGTAATTTTTTTGGCATTTTTTTGTTCAATTTGAGCTTTTCCCTAAATCATTCTTTGACTGTATGTCATTGCAAAATTGTGCTGAACTTCATCTTATGTGTCTTATAGAATCAGCATCTTGAAGATATTATAGAACAGAAAGAATCTATTATCAGGCAACTGAGAACAACTGTGTCTGAGGTATTTAATTCTATTACACATGGACCTGGTTAAGCAACTGGAATACGTTCTAGATATGAGGCAAAGCTTGAATGAATTTAAGAACTTAGTGCAGTACAAATATTTATTTCTTTTCCAGCAAAGTAAGAATGAAATTGATGGAAGACTTTTTGAGGAAAAGGTGGCCAAAGTAAAAGACTGGGTGAAACAGGTTGATTACAGATTTATTTATTGTTGAGAATTGTCTTTTTGTTCTTCTTCCAATTCATCTTCTTTGATCTTATAGTGTAAATTAACCATGGAAGACCTTCAATTGCAAATACAAGAGAAAGAAGACATGATTGAAAGGATGAAAAATGGCAAGTAGAGATAAATTTGAACTTTTAGGAACACTTGAACAAACATCAAAATTGCTGTTGCAAAATTACTCTGCCTCTGGGTGTACCAGTGCTTTCAATGAAAGTCTAAATATGAGGGAGATGAAAAAATGAAACCTTATATTCTTAAACTGTAGGATTTCCACAACACATTGGTGTTCATATAAGCAGAGTGGACGGTGATGCCAATGGTCCTAAGATTTCTCGTGCCAGGTCTAAATCTGCAGTCACATTGAGCCGTGGTGTTGTCAAAGTCAGCGAAATTGTCCCGGCTGTTCCCCCAAGACGGGCATCACTTGGAGTACTGAACCGTTCAAACAGTAACTTAAAGAAAAATCCTGGAAAATGTGGACTTCAAACATTTCCAGAGAACTCGAATACCACTAGTTCTAAAATTGATAAATTTAAATTGAATGTCCAGGACAATGATGCGATGAATAAAAAATTATCCGGAAGCGAAGAGAATTTCGAAGACAGAACGTATATGGTGTTGGAATCTGAGCCTCATCAAGAATATTCTTCTCCAAATAAATCAAAATTTTATGTTTCAGCTGAGAAGGACGATGCGAATAAACCAGCTGTGCGCATGACGATGAGGGAAAGATTAAAACAGTTAACGCAATCAAGCGAAGATGAGATAGATCATACTACTAGCGACAGTGATTTATCACCAGCGGTGGACAAACATAAGAAAGAGTTAGTTAACGAACTAATGAGCTCGTTAGAAGCAGAAGAACAAGAGGAAGACTCGACACAATCTAATGTCGGTCAGCAAGTAGTTACTGTCATGTTCAGCGCGGATCAAAACGGAATGTTGTCAGCTGAAGGGGCAAAGGTGACCACGACTGGAAAGTTGCCTGAAGCAGCTGGAAAAGAATCCTCAAACGAGGATAATGAAGAACTTACGGGGACACAAAAAGATAAAAAAGCCGAGGACGTGCGTTTCCAGATGAAACCAGGCAAAGACGCGCAAGGGTATACAAAGTTATTACCTGTCAATGAACCAGACAACGACAGATATGCGAAAACTGGGGCTGATAATTCTGCTAGTTCATTTAAAAGTTCCCCAAAACCCAACTTACCAAAGAATGACGCTGAATCAGAGAGTGGGTCGAGCAGTGGTGTGTCCACTTCCACTCCACCTATGAGAAGATCATGGGTAGGTACCAACAAGTCGTTAAATTAACGGCAAGGTTACAAAAACCTGTGGATGGTTGGCCTTGAATCTAATCTTCTCTGTTTCAGATGCAAGACCACAAAGTGCTCAATCCAGTCGTGAACGGAGTGATCGCCTCTGAAGAATGTAAGATACTTGACTAACTACAGTATTATTAAATAATGAACCAGCTAAGCTGTGACACTTTTTTCATAAGATTACAGTACATCACAAATACTTCCTTAGCTGGGAGTTTCGCTCGCCTGAATCAGAAAGAAAAACTGACAAAGTATAATCTCGAAATCCAGTACTATAACATTGAAAATACTGCTCATAACTGGTTTAATATCAATTCATTATTTTCAGGGAGAAGCGGTTCTGAAATAGACATTATCAATGGAACACAAGATGGATTTTCAGGCAACCTTACACAAGTGGGTCGATGCTCATCATTCTTATTTGATTTCTTGAAGATGTCTTAACTTTTCTTTTTGTCACCTTTTTTCCTTTTCTATCCATTTAGATCCAAAGTTGTCCCGTGTATGCCCAACTCGAAGGGGTAATCTTCATTGTTTTGACGTGTGAACCGCTGGTCAACATCATTTATATTCACGTATATTTTTCTTTTCTTAGAGAGCGTCAGAGATCCAGAATCGCCCCTGTACTGGTGACTCGACTGATTCTTCAGATAACGAGACTGATTCAGGACTGGAAAGCAGTGATTCTTTGAACGTTTCAAGAGCGAAGAGTGTGTCTGTCAGCGACAGGTTATTGAGAAGAGGCAGTGCAAGAAGAAAGGTTTTGAAGACTTGTGCCCAATACACGACGCAAAATCTAAAAAGTGTAAGATTCTTTTACTAGCAATGTATGAATAAATCAGAAATGAGGAAGACGCTACCATCGAAACCCTAGATCTTAATATTTTACCATTAACATCCCCCGACTTTATCATCCAAACTCTCGTGCCTATTATACTGGAATATCTTTTTGTACCTTTCAGGAGTCGCTTCAGAAAACTGGTTATTTATCGAAGCTTGGTGGGAGAATTAAGAACTGGAAACGAAGGTGGTTTGTCCTCAGTGAGAACAAGTTATCTTATTACAAAACTGAGGTAAGTGTCTTCCTCCCGGCGGCAGACAATATGACACTGTGAAAGGAGACGAGATTTGCAACTTCTCTTATAGAACGACGTGAATAAGAAAGCGCTGGGTCAAATCCCACTTGAAGGATTTTGTGGAATAACAAGAATTGAAGGAAGTCTATCGTTTCAGGTATGATCAAGAAGCCTGTTAGAATTCTCTTTGTGATTGACTACGCACTCTCGTTTCCTCTTCATTTCAAGTTAATTTTGTTTTTTATTTCACCAGATCGACACTCCAAAGCGCAAGTACTATTTGACTGGAGAATCTATTGACGATATCGACGATTGGCTGAAAGGTATCATACCTACTGTATTAAACCAACACTGCTTTTTCCACTCCGATCTCAACCAAGACGTTTTTCTTTTCAACCTTATCTCAGTGTTACAAAATGATCTTCGAAAGTTCCCAGCCAACCATCTCCTGGCCCAGGTCAATGAAAAACCAGTTATGAAAGGTTGGATTACCAAGGTGTGCATCCGGTTTTACATCGTAGATTTTTACCACATATTATCCACGTTTTACCACGTATTATCCACGTTCTACCACGTATTACCACATATGATCCATGCTTTCAATTGAAATGCGAATATTTTGCCCCAGGTAAAACTTGGCAAGTCTAAAAGAGTCTATTGCATCCTCCGGGGTAAAAGTTTGTGTTATTACAAAGGAGAAATGGATCAGGTAAGATGTGGGAGCAAGCCAGTTTGTCGATGTATCTTAATTGGTGATAATCATTTTCATTGTTTGTTTTTCAAGGCACCATTTGCTCTAGAGAATATGAAAGAATTTCATATTGAAAAAATTATGGGCTCTGATTCTGAAGATGATCTTGAGCCAGCTGAAAATGAGCAGCGTAACGGAAGATTTACTTTGAGACTGTACAAGGAAAAACAACCAACTACCAGCTCAGTTTATCTCGTGATTGAAACCAAACAAGATCTGGTAAGTTTTTGATCAGCAAAAGAAGAAGAAATGATGAAGACTATGGACTACAAGAACACGAGGACTGAATGATTTCATTCCTAGATTCAATAATAAAAACTACCCAGCATAAGTTTAGGTTATCTTGAACGTTAAGTTCATCTATGTAACTTTTGTGTTTCAGAATGCTTGGTTATATCATCTGACAATGGCCTCAGGTCATATTAACCAGATTGGAACAGATTTTGAAAAAACCATTGCACAGCTCAAACAGGATGGTGACCCAGGTAAGAAATATAAACTTGCTCCAAACAATATACTCGTCATTTTTGTTCTGTAAGGATCATCATTTACCTTGATTACCAGGAGCTCACCGTTACCACTTGGATGGGATGGAATAGCAGTGTTTCTTATGGTGTTATATTATTTGTATCTTCTGTAGAAAGCCCTCTCTGGAACAGCACCATTATAACACATTCCAAGGAGCCTCTGGAGAACCCTCTTACCACTCTACCGTCTGAAGAGCTGGAGGAAAAAGCTGTACAATTATTTAAGGTGAGAATTTGTGTATCTTAGATCAGTGGTAACCACTGGGATCACAAATGAATAATAACGCCTTCTATGTATGTACATATCTTCCTCTTCATTTGATGTTTTGCACAAACACAGAAACCTTGATATATATTTCTTTGTTTTAAAATATTTTTAGTCCATTCAGTTATTCTGTGATACGGAGTGTGTCCCAGGTCCTGCGCTTGACTATCACGTGGTGTATGCCCAGAATGCATTACAAATGTGTCTGAGCCACACGGAATTGCGCGAGGAAATGTATTGTCAGTTAATGAAACAGACTGCTAAACGTGTTCATGTCTTGAGCGAGTCAGCCAGCGCACTTGAGGTGAGAATTTCTCCAGAAATGCATGACGTGTGATCGTCTTAGGACCCGCTAATCTTCATCAATTTTTGCAGCGGTTTTTAGCTCCACATTCAGAATGGTTGTCAGCGTCCAGATCAAATTCTGTTGTTTCTAATGCGACGATTGATCTTAGACCAATCAGGGAATACGTGTATGAACAATGCTGGCAGCTTTTAATACTTTGTTGTACGCTGTTCATACCGAGAGGTCATGTTCTTTGGTTCCTGAAAGCTCACTTGGAAAAGTATTCTACAAAGGAGTAAGTTGAGAGTGTGATACGTCATCTACGCGAGTTAATCTTTGTTCAAATTTTACGGGAAAACCGGTTGAGTTTCCTCAATTCAGGATAACATTTTTTTTTTCAATTTTTAAGAACCATAATTGGAAAATATGCAAGGTATTGTAAGCAGTGTTTGCAGAGAACTTTGGAAAATGGTGAACGAGAGGCGGGACCATCGAGAATGGAGGTACATGAAGCTGTTGTCATTAAATTTCATTTAGGATTAATACCAATTTTGATTAGGATTTGGATTTCTGAATATGCAATACGTTAAAGAGTCTATGAATGTGAAATCGGTGATTTGGTTGTTTCAGGTGATCGCTGTTCTGCTGGACGATCCGTTTGAGAAGAAACATCCGCTCAAAATCCCAGTTCATTTTGTCAATCGAACTTCAGAAGAGTTTGGTTTTGACGCAGCCACAACTGTTCAAGAACTCATTGATGCAATTAACTCAGTAAGTTGATATCACATCGTTACAGAAGAGAATATCAAACATCCCAACATAGCTTTATAATTTCGCCTTGGACACCTCCAATTTCTTTATATTTTAGGAGATTGGTCTTCGTTCAATTGATCAAAGTGGTTATGCTTTGTACACTGACAATCCTGTTGGACCTGTTCAACATTGTCTTCAAACTAGCGTTAAGGTGAGTTCATCGTAATATGGATGAAGATTTGGGACAATTGTGTTTTAATGGTCAAGCTTGTTATGTAGGTGTGTGACGTCATCTCAAAATGGGAGAAAACAATGCAGAGTTTGCACCAAGGAAGACATGAAACAAATCGTGTCATCAGATTGAGTTATAAAAACAGGTAAACAGCAACATGGCCATTTCTATCTACGGTCGACGTTTATTAGAAGTGGCGACACGGGTTCCCTCAAAATAATCGTGAACATTTTTCCTAATTTAGATTGTACTTCAAGAGTCTTTCAAAGAATGAGACGCCCACTGAACGTTATTTTCTTGTTTATCAGGTAAATGTTGAACGAATGCATGAGCAGACATTTCACAACCGTTTTACATGCAAGGCATTTTTACTCTAATATTTGTGTGTTGTTTGTCAACTTACAGACATTTAATGACACAGTAAATGGTCGTTTTCCCATTTCAAAAGACCGCTGTATACGAATGACTGCCTTGATGGCTCAGGTAAACATGTTGCAGTAATGTTTAACAGTTCAGTATTTTGTCAACTACTTTAGAAATACAGCGAGTATTAGGTTTGACTGTTTTTGCGGCTGTTACCCTTTGTTTGACTGTCCGAACTTTGGCAGTGATTCCTACAACATGAATGTGTTTAAACACTACAAATTTTTAGATGGAGTTTGGTGATCGTGTTGCTCAGGGCAACCAAGGTGACGATACGATCTCTATGATTCAAGAAAGATTTTATCCCAGGAAAATAAAAGAACCAATGACAAGTGAGCAACGCAGGTAAACCAACTGTCATGCACGAAAGTGTTTGCCTCTGCGAATGTTGACATATTTTACTGATTTTTTTTGTCTTTTTATGAAGACAATTAAGAAATCGTTTTCTTGACGCTTGGCAATCGTTAATGGGAAAAACGAAACAAGAATGTATAACATTGTATTTATGTATGGCGAAAAATTGGCCCACATTTGGAGCAAAATTATTTAAGGCAAAGGTGGGAATGTTGTGACGATGATTGAGGAAGTGTAGTTCGCGGTGTCTTGTTCCTTGTGTTTGGATCTCTGACGTATTCTCGCTTGCTCCTCTAGCAACGTCGTATTGTGTCAAGAAAAAGAGATTCAGCTTCAGAGAACTTGGAGGATGTTTGGCTAGCTGTGCAGGAAGAATGCATTAGTATTCTTGATAGCACGAAAATGGTAAAAATGCATGAAACACAGCTGTTTAACTCCCGAGACTACCTAAAAGCCATCTCTTGTTGGAACCTTGAGCCCGAGGACTGAGGTAGTTAAGAAGAAATACGAGCACCCTGCCATTAAAAGTGTATCTTTGGTCATCTTTTTAGAATCCCGTCTTCAAATACAACTATAGATCAGTGGTTACTTTTGGTGGTTGGAAAGAAGACTTCATGTTGGTTGTGAATAAAACGACTCCTAAGAGATCCGGGCAAAGTGAACTCGGCACAGAGAGACTGTTGTTTGTAATGCCGAGAGGAAAGGTCAGAAAATGTTGTGTTCGTCGATTACAGTATTCAAATAACTTCACTGTGAATTACAAAATGGTTTGTTCTCATTTTAGATTCTGGAGATTACTTTACTTATCGCCAGTTATATCAACGCGATAGTTCGTCAACAAGGATTGACTTTTGATGTCACAAGTACGACGAAAGTAGCGAGCGCCACGGCAGAGAAGGACATCAAAGTTTGGGACATGGAAAGTACTGAATGGCCAATGGTTTCTGGTCCTGGTTTGATTTGAATTACAGAGCAGAATGTTGAACTCTTATTCTGAAGATAACAAAGAATCTACGTATTCTATTGTTCACATTATCATTAGTGTCTAAGAGACCTCGAGGTTTTAGTGCATTAGAAAAAAAATGCAAAAACTTTGTCGTGTTTTATGCGAAAGTAAAAACAGAAAATTGTTCCTCCCAGGCCTACTAATTAAAGATTTTATGGTAAAACAACAAGAGTTTTATATTAGTTTGAAGTTTAGGAGGCTAATAAAGGCTTTAATTTGAGTTAAACAACCTATTATCGCTAGAGGTGATTGAAAAGCGGCGCTCCATGCACTAATATGAAATGTCCTGTTGAAAGTGATATGCAGGACCCATTCGCCATAGACTGATTTCGCGTTGATGTTAAGGCTTAGAGTATTGTTTGATGAAAGGTCAGGACGGACAGTTTTGCAGATTGCTTGATTGTCTTCTCTTGTCCATCTGTGAAGGCGATTTTGAGAACGATTGCTTCGTCTTCTGTCTGGTGTGAACGCGGCCAATTAGCGCAATTAATATGAAAGATTGAAATAGTTTAATTGTAAATAAAGATAAATATTATTGCGAGATATGTATACAAGGTTGAACTATAACTGATAGCTCTATCTGCAACAAGAACTATGCACAAAATGTTAATAAGAAGATAAATTGCATATTTAAATTCAACAATAAAAAATATTGAAAGTATTTGTAAAATTACTTTCTTCTCGCTTCTTCTATGAAATGAAATTATTATTACACCCCTTGCCTGTCACATCACACACTGTTGAGAGGTCCTTTGTGTAAACTCAGCTAACGGTTGTAGCAGGTAGCAGGATGGATAGTTTCTAAAAGAATATCAAAATACTAAAATGTCTCACTAAAAACACTTAAAAAACGTTTAGGCGTTTAAATTTTGACATTTCCTAGCGTGTGCCTTATTAGTCGTTTTCTACGCATATACTTGTTACGGACCGCCCCCCGAGACCAGGAAAAGGTTAAATACGTTAAATTTATCGTCGCTCTCAGGGCTAGCCACTGTAGCTGATTCGTCTATGACGCTAGGCTTGTGGCGATGCATACTCTGTTTCTCACTGAGACGTAACGGTTAGGTGCACATACATCATGGTCTGGGGGCCGTAGTGCATCTCCCCCTTAGACGGCCGTTAAGATGTGAGTTATGGGGGGGAGTTCTTCCTATAGCAACTGTCCTTGCACCTTTCGTAGTTGTAACTATGCTGAATATTGCAGCCGGTTGTATAACCAGGTTAGATTGTGGCATAGGCTGGATGATCTCTTTTACGTTCTTTCCCCATTTTTTTTTTTGGCGTGCTTTCCAAATTTTTCTTTTACATACAAAAAAACACTGAACATATAAGGAACGGATATGGATCGAAAAAAAATTATATCGACTAAAAACCACCTTAATTAACCCCTGAATACTCTCCCCAGTCTCTGCATGGCTGAGTCTCTGAATTAAACAATACCAGAGATCATTCATAAACATCAAACATCTTCATCAACCTTACAGCAGTAAAGCAGCGACAAAGACATTCAGACAGTCAACTCTGCGTTCTCATGCATGAACAAAAAAACAAACAATATTAATTCAGAAGTCCGAGTAGTATTTTTCAAAGATAATTCATCTAACATAGGTAAAATACATCTATAGTGACACTAATGATTCAATTTCCCCTCAATGCCAAACAGTATTTTAAACATCTCCCCTAGTTCACGTTTGAGAAGAAATTGAAAAAATTCTCCCATGTTCATTCGATCATCACCAGCACCATGGACATGAAAAACCAATTCTTTAAAATTTTCAAATTTTCGCTCACTGATGTATTTCTCGTTGTGACGACATGTTATTTTCTTCCAATTCAATCGCCTCAATCTACTGAAATAATCTTCAGTGTCCTTGACATTGCCTTCGATACAAACAACACCTGGTTTACCCGGCAAAGAAAATCCAGTCAATTTCAAGTCATGGGCCCAGTCAAGGATGTGTTTTCTCTTAGTTTTACTGTAAATATGATGCATATATAACCACATTCTTGACAACTCCTCATCCTTGCTTTTCTCTCTTTTTGTCATTCTATCAACTTCCATTTCTTTACAGTTTATCTGCTGTATGCTTCTTACATAATATTCAGGCCAAGTGTCTTGAAGCCATTGAATGATTGTCACAACGCATAGTTCACCTCGTTCTAAACTTGATAGAAATTCAGTCATAGATTCATTCAAAATATTGAAAGTATTTGTAAAATTACTTTCTTCTCGCTTCTTCTATGAAATGAAATTATTATTACACCCCTTGCCTGTCACATCACACACTGTTGAGAGGTCCTTTGTGTAAACTCAGCTAACGGTTGTAGCAGGTAGCAGGATGGATAGTTTCTAAAAGAATATCAAAATACTAAAATGTCTCACTAAAAACACTTAAAAAACGTTTAGGCGTTTAAATTTTGACATTTCCTAGCGTGTGCCTTATTAGTCGTTTTCTATGCATATACTTGTTACGGACCGCCCCCCGAGACCAGGAAAAGGTTAAATACGTTAAATTTATCGTCGCTCTCAGGGCTAGCCACTGTAGCTGATTCGTCTATGACGCTAGGCTTGTGGCGATGCATACTCTGTTTCTCACTGAGACGTAACGGTTAGGTGCACATACATCATGGTCTGGGGGCCGTAGTGCATCTCCCCCTTAGACGGCCGTTAAGATGTGAGTTATGGGGGGGAGTTCTTACTATAGCAACTGTCCTTGCACCTTTCGTAGTTGTAACTATGCTGAATATTGCAGCCGGTTGTATAACCAGGTTAGATTGTGGCATAGGCTGGATGATCTCTTTTACGTTCTTTCCCCATTTTTTTTTTTGGCGTGCTTTCCAAATTTTTCTTTTACATACAAAAAAAACACTGAACATATAAGGAACGGATATGGATCGAAAAAAAAATTATATCGACTAAAAACCACCTTAATTAACCCCTGAATACTCTCCCCAGTCTCTGCATGGCTGAGTCTCTGAATTAAACAATACCAGAGATCATTCATAAACATCAAACATCTTCATCAACCTTACAGCAGTAAAGCAGCGACAAAGACATTCAGACAGTCAACTCTGCGTTCTCATGCATGAACAAAAAACAAACAATATTAATTCAGAAGTCCGAGTAGTATTTTTCAAAGATAATTCATCTAACATAGGTAAAATACATCTATAGTGACACTAATGATTCAATTTCCCCTCAATGCCAAACAGTATTTTAAACATCTCCCCTAGTTCACGTTTGAGAAGAAATTGAAAAAATTCTCCCATGTTCATTCGATCATCACCAGCACCATGGACATGAAAAACCAATTCTTTAAAATTTTCAAATTTTCGCTCACTGATGTATTTCTCGTTGTGACGACATGTTATTTTCTTCCAATTCAATCGCCTCAATCTACTGAAATAATCTTCAGTGTCCTTGACATTGCCTTCGATACAAACAACACCTGGTTTACCCGGCAAAGAAAATCCAGTCAATTTCAAGTCATGGGCCCAGTCAAGGATGTGTTTTCTCTTAGTTTTACTGTAAATATGATGCATATATAACCACATTCTTGACAACTCCTCATCCTTGCTTTTCTCTCTTTTTGTCATTCTATCAACTTCCATTTCTTTACAGTTTATCTGCTGTATGCTTCTTACATAATATTCAGGCCAAGTGTCTTGAAGCCATTGAATGATTGTCACAACGCATAGTTCACCTCGTTCTAAACTTGATAGAAATTCAGTCATAGATTCATTCAAAATATTGAAAGTATTTGTAAAATTACTTTCTTCTCGCTTCTTCTATGAAATGAAATTATTATTACACCCCTTGCCTGTCACATCACACACTGTTGAGAGGTCCTTTGTGTAAACTCAGCTAACGGTTGTAGCAGGTAGCAGGATGGATAGTTTCTAAAAGAATATCAAAATACTAAAATGTCTCACTAAAAACACTTAAAAAACGTTTAGGCGTTTAAATTTTGACATTTCCTAGCGTGTGCCTTATTAGTCGTTTTCTATGCATATACTTGTTACGGACCGCCCCCCGAGACCAGGAAAAGGTTAAATACGTTAAATTTATCGTCGCTCTCAGGGCTAGCCACTGTAGCTGATTCGTCTATGACGCTAGGCTTGTGGCGATGCATACTCTGTTTCTCACTGAGACGTAACGGTTAGGTGCACATACATCATGGTCTGGGGGCCGTAGTGCATCTCCCCCTTAGACGGCCGTTAAGATGTGAGTTATGGGGGGGAGTTCTTCCTATAGCAACTGTCCTTGCACCTTTCGTAGTTGTAACTATGCTGAATATTGCAGCCGGTTGTATAACCAGGTTAGATTGTGGCATAGGCTGGATGATCTCTTTTACGTTCTTTCCCCATTTTTTTTTTTTGGTTTGCTTTCCAAATTTTTCTTTTACATACAAAAAAAACACTGAACATATAAGGAACGGATATGGATCGAAAAAAAAATTATATCGACTAAAAACCACCTTAATTAACCCCTGAATACTCTCCCCAGTCTCTGCATGGCTGAGTCTCTGAATTAAACAATACCAGAGATCATTCATAAACATCAAACATCTTCATCAACCTTACAGCAGTAAAGCAGCGACAAAGACATTCAGACAGTCAACTCTGCGTTCTCATGCATGAACAAAAAAACAAACAATATTAATTCAGAAGTCCGAGTAGTATTTTTCAAAGATAATTCATCTAACATAGGTAAAATACATCTATAGTGACACTAATGATTCAATTTCCCCTCAATGCCAAACAGTATTTTAAACATCTCCCCTAGTTCACGTTTGAGAAGAAATTGAAAAAATTCTCCCATGTTCATTCGATCATCACCAGCACCATGGACATGAAAAACCAATTCTTTAAAATCTTCAAATTTTCGCTCACTGATGTATTTCTCGTTGTGACGACATGTTATTTTCTTCCAATTCAATCGCCTCAATCTACTGAAATATCTTCAGTGTCCTTGACATTGCCTTCGATACAAACAACACCTGGTTTACCCGGCAAAGAAAATCCAGTCAATTTCAAGTCATGGGCCCAGTCAAGGATGTGTTTTCTCTTAGTTTTACTGTAAATATGATGCATATATAACCACATTCTTGACAACTCCTCATCCTTGCTTTTCTCTCTTTTTGTCATTCTATCAACTTCCATTTCTTTACAGTTTATCTGCTGTATGCTTCTTACATAATATTCAGGCCAAGTGTCTTGAAGCCATTGAATGATTGTCACAACGCATAGTTCACCTCGTTCTAAACTTGATAGAAATTCAGTCATAGATTCATTCAAAATATTGAAAGTATTTGTAAAATTACTTTCTTCTCGCTTCTTCTATGAAATGAAATTATTATTACACCCCTTGCCTTGTCACATCACACACTGTTGAGAGGTCCTTTGTGTAAACTCAGCTAACGGTTGTAGCAGGTAGCAGGATGGATAGTTTCTAAAAGAATATCAAAATACTAAAATGTCTCACTAAAAACACTTAAAAAACGTTTAGGCGTTTAAATTTTGACATTTCCTAGCGTGTGCCTTATTAGTCGTTTTCTATGCATATACTTGTTACGGACCGCCCCCCGAGACCAGGAAAAGGTTAAATACGTTAAATTTATCGTCGCTCTCAGGGCTAGCCACTGTAGCTGATTCGTCTATGACGCTAGGCTTGTGGCGATGCATACTCTGTTTCTCACTGAGACGTAACGGTTAGGTGCACATACATCATGGTCTGGGGGCCGTAGTGCATCTCCCCCTTAGACGGCCGTTAAGATGTGAGTTATGGGGGGAGTTCTTCCTATAGCAACTGTCCTTGCACCTTTCGTAGTTGTAACTATGCTGAATATTGCAGCCGGTTGTATAACCAGGTTAGATTGTGGCATAGGCTGGATGATCTCTTTTACGTTCTTTCCCCATTTTTTTTTTTTGGTTTGCTTTCCAAATTTTTCTTTTACATACAAAAAAACACTGAAACATATAAGGAACGGATATGGATCGAAAAAAAAATTATATCGACTAAAAACCACCTTAATTAACCCCTGAATACTCTCCCCAGTCTCTGCATGGCTGAGTCTCTGAATTAAACAATACCAGAGATCATTCATAAACATCAAACATCTTCATCAACCTTACAGCAGTAAAGCAGCGACAAAGACATTCAGACAGTCAACTCTGCGTTCTCATGCATGAACAAAAAAACAAACAATATTAATTCAGAAGTCCGAGTAGTATTTTTCAAAGATAATTCATCTAACATAGGTAAAATACATCTATAGTGACACTAATGATTCAATTTCCCCTCAATGCCAAACAGTATTTTAAACATCTCCCCTAGTTCACGTTTGAGAAGAAATTGAAAAAATTCTCCCATGTTCATTCGATCATCACCAGCACCATGGACATGAAAAACCAATTCTTTAAAATCTTCAAATTTTCGCTCACTGATGTATTTCTCGTTGTGACGACATGTTATTTTCTTCCAATTCAATCGCCTCAATCTACTGAAATAATCTTCAGTGTCCTTGACATTGCCTTCGATACAAACAACACCTGGTTTACCCGGCAAAGAAAATCCAGTCAATTTCAAGTCATGGGCCCAGTCAAGGATGTGTTTTCTCTTAGTTTTACTGTAAATATGATGCATATATAACCACATTCTTGACAACTCCTCATCCTTGCTTTTCTCTCTTTTTGTCATTCTATCAACTTCCATTTCTTTACAGTTTATCTGCTGTATGCTTCTTACATAATATTCAGGCCAAGTGTCTTGAAGCCATTGAATGATTGTCACAACGCATAGTTCACCTCGTTCTAAACTTGATAGAAATTCAGTCATAGATTCATTCAAAATATTGAAAGTATTTGTAAAATTACTTTCTTCTCGCTTCTTCTATGAAATGAAATTATTATTACACCCCTTGCCTGTCACATCACACACTGTTGAGAGGTCCTTTGTGTAAACTCAGCTAACGGTTGTAGCAGGTAGCAGGATGGATAGTTTCTAAAAGAATATCAAAATACTAAAATGTCTCACTAAAAACACTTAAAAAACGTTTAGGCGTTTAAATTTTGACATTTCCTAGCGTGTGCCTTATTAGTCGTTTTCTATGCATATACTTGTTACGGACCGCCCCCCGAGACCAGGAAAAGGTTAAATACGTTAAATTTATCGTCGCTCTCAGGGCTAGCCACTGTAGCTGATTCGTCTATGACGCTAGGCTTGTGGCGATGCATACTCTGTTTCTCACTGAGACGTAACGGTTAGGTGCACATACATCATGGTCTGGGGGCCGTAGTGCATCTCCCCCTTAGACGGCCGTTAAGATGTGAGTTATGGGGGGGAATTCTTCCTATAGCAACCGCCTTGCACCTTTCGTAGTTGTAACTATGCTGAATATTGCAGCCGGTTGTATAACCAGGTTAGATTGTGGCATAGGCTGGATGATCTCTTTTACGTTCTTTCCCAAATTTTTTTTTGGGCGTGCTTTCCAAATTTTTCTTTTACATACAAGAAAAATACTGTTATTAAACATATATGGAACGGATATGGTTCAAAAAAAATTTATATCGACTAAAAACCACCTTAATTAACACCTGAATACTCTCCCCAGTCTCTGCATGGCTGAGTCTCTGAATTAAACAATACCAGAGATCATTCATAAACATCAAACGTTTATTTTTTTAGATCAGAATCTCCATCAACCTTACAGCAGTAAAACAGCGACAAAGACATTCAGACAGTCAACTCTGCATTCTCGTTAGTGTTTATGGCCATTTTAAGAGCACATTCAATTGTTATTCCCAATTCATTGCATATAAAATCCAACTTTGATGGGAGGGGAGGCCAGGCCAGGGAGGGAATAAGACCTTGCGATTTTTCTTGGGATTTTTAGAATACAGAGAAGATAATTTCAAACTATGTTTCAAACAACAAGATCAACCGGGTCCTTCAAGATCAACCGGATCGTATCATGAAAATATGCAAGAAAGGTTCTTCTCGATTTTCGACCTAAGCCCCTCGTTACAGTCCACAGTTAACTGTGAGGGCAACCCGGGGCCCCAGGCTTCGGTTAGAATTCTTGGATTTTTTGGGGGGAAATAGGGAATCTTGGGATTTTGGGGGAGCTATATTGGGATTTTTGGGGAAACGGACTGGGCAAAACTGCATGGTTGCAGGGCGCTGTAAAACACATATGTGTTTTACAGCGCCCTGATGGTAGCAACTTCTAACCTCGCACGAGGTTGAGCAACTTCATCTTTTCCACGACGAGTAATTTTTTAATCGAACGAGATTTTCAGCTTGGTTTTCTTTTTATTTCAACAACTCGTGAGAATTCTACCGAAGCGGATTCAACTTGTGGCTGATCAATGTCGTCGCCAGTCGTAGAAAGGTTCGAGAGGACAAATGATAAGGTAATAACTTCCTGTTTAACTTAAAAATTTGTCAAAAGTAAATATACAACGTTCAAAATGCCCTTAAACTTGGTAAATAATGAAATATGAAAAAAGTAACAGGAACAATACCAAATAAAGATTTCGTCCAAAAAGGTGACCTGCTTTTAATAATTAACCAGCTTTTAATTATATATGCGGTGGTGGCATAGCGGTGAGGACGTAAATAAATTATGAATGTAGTGTAAACACTTTTATAGTTTCAAGATTGCATTGTTTGCATTATTTTCATTCAAACCAGTTTGCTAGGGAGCATTAGGCCAAGGACCCAAGCAGTTTAAAAAGTCCAGAAATATAAACACCATAACCTAGGAATTATTAATAGATTCTACATTTAAAATGAAATAATTATAAAAATCCCCAGAATATTGGATTGTTCATCCTATTAATAGTTTACAGTTTTTGAAAACAGAATATACAACAGCCATCATCTAAATGATAGGGACCAAGTTTTTTCTCAAGCAATTTCCACTTCTTTGCACTGCACAATTCCTCAATTTTCTCGCCATAACCATAGACAGGGTCTTCTGCAACTGCGTTCCTGACTGTGAAGCAGACCAGACCTCCAGGTTTTAGAACATGAATGAAATCATCAAAACCTTTGCCTTTCACTTGACCAAAGGTCATCACCCCCACACATATTGCTGCATCATATTGATCAGCCCCCACTCCAAGCTTTTCACACCCCTCTGATGCCATCTCCCCCTGGGTGAGTGTCCTGTACACACCCTTCTCCTTGGCTTTTTCCAACATCTCAGCACACAGGTCAACTCCATCGATATTGTTGTAACCTCTCCTGTTTAACTCTTCACCAACCAGTCCAGTACCACAACCAAAATCAAGAATACAAACATCTTTATTATACCCAAACTGCTCCATATATTTACATAGAATGTCAGCTGTTGCAACTGGGGCTTCATAACTCATATTTCCCACACACTAAAACATGATTATTGATTAGGAATTACTATGGAGTGCTTCTAACTCACCAACCTAATTTACTTTGTGAACCTAACAAAGTTAGCGGAGTTTTCGCCAGACATAAAACAATATTAATACGTGAAAAAATATTTTCAGGTATGCAGAGACTTATATTCAGAGACGATTATTGTAACTTGGTAACGATCGGATCGACTAACGAGACAAACGAGTCTTGCATGAAATGCAACCTCGTATCCAGGGTCTGTTGCATTTTATAATTGAAGGATTGCTCAAAATCTTGTTTCTCAGCTCAAAAAACCACAAACAATGTTTGAGAGCAATACATTTCGCATTATGATAAAAAAATGATGCACAATCTTGCAAAAGGGTTGCTCAATAGTCAATGTCGGAAGTTTGGATGCATATACCATGACTAATATTCAATACCTTATCATAGCGCTTGCTAAAATCTCTGTAAAATTTCTCGCAATCTTCTGTCTTGCTTTCTGCGTTCAAATTATAACCTGTCTGATACCAATCCCGTAATGCCATATCCTCGTTCATGATTGCGTTTTTCTCGCCTAATATCGCGCACAGTCGAACACGTGGAAACCACTGGGAAAACATATACAAAGCATCGCGGGACTGTATTTTCCTTACACGCACTCTCAAACCGCCCGAAATCGGGTTGAAATTCGAACATAGATATATCTATGAATTCGAACTCAGTTAGCAATGGGTGGTAATGGCGTAAGCACAGGGTGCTTTTGATTGGTTATGGAAAAAAATTTTCATCAACGAGGTGAACGTGCAGTTGGGCGTGGAGTGGTGTACACCTTTGCGAGACGTTTGTGCAATCAGGAATGACGCTTTCCTGGGGCCTGTTGTACGAAATCCACCAGATAGCTATTTTTGCGACTGTAAACTCAGCTAACGGTTGTAGCAGGTAGCAGGGTGGATAGTTAGTACTGAAAGAAACATACAATTTAGGCCCAAATTATACCGGCGAATCAAGCAGCTATACTAAACACAAAATTAACAAAACATTTTAGTAAAGTAAGCCGTTCAGTCATTTATATTGAGTTTCCTTTCGAGAATGACGATTATTTTGACGTTAAAAACCAACAAGGATTGTTTCAAAACACTAAAATTTCTAAAAGAATATCAAAACACTAAAATTTCTCGCAAAAAACACTTAAAAAACGTTTAGGCGTTTAAATCTTGACATTTCCAATCGTGTGTCTTATTAGTCGTTTTCTATGTATATACTTGTTAGGGACCGCCCCCCGAGACCAGGAAAAGCTTAAATACGTTAAATTTATCTTCGCTCTCAGGGCTAGCCACTGTAGCAGATTCGTCTATGACGCTAGGCTTGTGGCGATGAATACTCTGTTTCTCACTGAGACGTAACGGTTAGGTGCACATACATCATGGTCTGGGGGCCGTAGTGCATCTCCCCCTTAGACGGCCGTTAAGATGTGAGTTATGGGGGGGAGTTCTTCCTATAGCAACCGCCTTGCACCTTTCGTAGTTGTAACTATGCTGAATATTGCAGCCGGTTGTATAACCAGGTTAGATTGTGGCATAGGCTGGATGATCTCTTTTACGTTCTTTCCCAAATTTTTTTTTTGGCGTGCTTTCCAAATTTTTCTTTTACATACAAAAAAAAAACACTGTTATTAAACATATGTGGAACGGATATGGTTCGAAAAAAAATTTATATCGACTAAAAACCACCTTAATTAACCCCTGAATACTCTCCCCAGTCTCTGCATGGCGGAGTCTCTGAATTAAACAATACCAGAGATCATTCATAAACATCAAACATTTGTTTTATCAGATCAGCATTTTCATCAACTTTACAGCAGTAAAACATCGATTGCGTTTTCGCCGTGATAATTTTAACAAAGGGATTACAAGATGAAATCATGAGATGGTGGTGGACTGCGCCATCAGACATTAGAGCAATACCACTGTGGCAATACCAAGCCCCAAGGGTGACAGGCCCAAGCATTCTAGGGGCCTATCAAGCAATACGAATGGGAACACAGTGAAGACTTAAATTTCAATCGTTCTGGAGGACCAGGTACCTAATTTGCTAATTAATTTGCACATTAACATTAGGACATTCAACCAAGTAGAAAGTGCTGGTGAAAGAAGCAAAAATTTAAAAAATATAACTACCATAACCCAGTAATTTTTAATACATTCTACATTTAAATTTAAAAAGTTAGAAAAATTAGATTGTTCATCCTATTAATAGTTTCAATATAACCAGGGAGCAGCATGGCAGCGTCTTCAAACAACTTAGCATCAAATGTGGTATAACAACTGCCTAAAATCCACAAAACACTTCACAACGTTTTGACCTGAGGGCCTTTGTCAGGAGAGTTAGTAGTTCCTATTAATAGTTTTCAGTTTTTGAAAACAGAATATACAACAGCCATCATCTATAAGATAGGGACCAACTTTTTTCTCAAGCAATTTCCACTTTTTTGCACTGCACAATTCCTCCATTTTCTCGCCATAACCATAGGCAGGGTCCTCTGCAACAATGTTCCTGACTGTGAAGCAGGCCAGACCTCCAAGTTTTAGAACATGAATGAAATCATCAAAACCTTTGCCTTTCACTTGACCCATACTCATCACTCCCACACATATTGCTGCGTCATATTGATCAGCCCCCACTCCAAGCTTTTCACACCCCTCCGATGCCATCTCCCCCTGGGTGAGTGTCCGGTACACACCCTTCTCCTTGGCTTTTTCCACCATCTCAGCACACAGGTCAACTCCATCGATATTGTTGTAACCTCTCCTGTTTAACTCTTCACCAACCAGTCCAGTACCACAACCAAAATCAAGAATACAAACATCTTTATTGTACCCAAACTGCTCCATATATTTACATAGAATGTCAGCTGTTGCAACCGGGGCTTCATAACTCATATCTACCATGCACTATATAAAAACATGATTAGGAATTACTGTGGAGTGCTTCTGATTCACCAACCTAACTTACTTTGTGAACCTAACAAAGTTAGCGGAGTTTCCAGACGTAAAACAATGTTAATACGTGAAAAAATATTTTCAGGTATGCAGAGACTTATATTCAGAGACGATTATTGTAACTTGGTAATGACTAACGAGACAAACGAGTATTGTATGAAATGCAACCTCGTATCCAGGGTCTGTTGCGTTTTATAATTGAAGGATTGTTCATTTTCTTGTTTTTCATCTCAAAAAACCACAAACAATTAATGTTTGAGAGCAATACATTTCGCATGTAATATCATAGGCAGCCCGTTCAATGCGGGTACTGCATACTATCTTATGTATATAGTTTTCCCTTAGGCTGGCAACTCTCTCACAAAAAATATAATGCATACATTAATACATTCGCTTGAAACACAAAAATTACGCTAGTTTCTTGAAAAAAAACTAGATACAAAACCACGACGACATTTTTTCTTCGTTGAATTGGTCTTCGTGATCCGACATTTCAACAGTCAATCAGAAATTTGCCGACATTTTTCCGAATTGCATCCCGCCTCTGTTTAACAAAATTTCGATAAAAATACACTTTTTATTTGCAAAATTTAAGCATTTTTAAGTTGTTTTCAAGTCTAAAAACGACAGATAAATTTAGTAAATATATCCAAGGTGTTTTGTATCTAGTTTATTTTCAAGAAACTAGCGTGATTTTTGTGTTTCAAGCTATGGTATTAATATTTTTTGTGAGAGAGTTGCCAGCCTTAGGATAATTATATATACATAAGATAGTATACGACCGCATTGATCGGGCTGCTATGGAGAGAGTTGCCAGCCTTAGGATAATTGAAGGATTGTTCATAATCTTGTTTTTCACCTCAAAAAACCACAAACAATGTTTGAGAGCAATACATTTAGCATTATGATAAAAAATGATGCACTATCTTGCAAAGGGGCTCCTCAATAGTCAATGCAGGAAGTTTGGATGGCATATAACATGACTGATATTCAATACCTTATCATAGCGCTTGCTAAGATCTCTATAAAATTTCTCGCAATCTTCTGTCTTGCTTTCTGCGTTGAAATCATAACCTGTCAGATACTGCTTATACCAATCCCGTAATGCCATATCTTCGTTCATGATTGTGTTTTTCTGTTTATATCGCGATATTATAGTCAATCACGAGAAATCAGAAAACCAGTGAAATGTGACCACTGAGCTATATTAAAATTCCTGGAGGACTTGCTCGTCATTTTTCGGTAACTGAGCTATTGTACGAAATCCACCAGATAGCCATTTTTTCGACTGCAAGACATCAGCCATACCACACCGAAATAGCGTCGTTTTCGCCGTGATAATTTTAACAAAAACGATTACAACCTGTCTGATACCAATCCCGTAATGCGATATCTTTGTTCATGATTGCGTTTTTCTCGCCTAATAGTCGCGAACAGTCGAACACGTCAAAACTACTGAGAAAACAATATACAAAGCATCGCGGCCGCGGGCCTGTATTTTCCTTACACGCACTCTCAACCTGCCCGAAATCGGGTTGAAATTCGAACATAGATATATCTATGACTTCGAACTCAATTAGCAATGGGTGGTAATGGCGTAAGCACAGATGCTTTCGATTGTTAGGGTGCTTTCGATTGGTTACGGAAAAAATTTTCATCAACGAGGTGAACGTGCAGTTGGACGTGGAGTGGTGTACACCTTTGCGAGACGTTTGCGCAATCAGGAATGACGCTTTCCTGCGGCCTGTTGTACGAAATCCACCAGATAGCCATTTTTTCGACTGTAACCTCAGCTAACGGTTGTAGCAGGTAGCAGGGTGGATAGTTAATAAAAGAAATAAAGAAGAAAGATCGAACTTTAATATTCCCCGAAAATAGAACAGAATCAACGAAGATAAAAAATAAAAACTTGTGAAATAAATACCTACAATTTAGGCCCAAATTGTACCGGCGAATCAAGCGGCTATACTAAACACAAAATTAACAAAACATTTTGGTAAACTAAGCCGTTCAGTCATTTATATTGAGTTTCCTTTCGAGAATGACGATTATTTTGACGTTAAAAACCAACAAGGATTGTTTCAAAACACTAAAATTTCTAAAAGAATATCAAAACACTAAAATTTCTCGCAAAAAAACACTTAAAAAACGTTTAGGCGTTTAAATCTTGACATTTCCAAGCGTGTGCCTTTATAGTCGTTTTTTATGTATATACTTGTTAGGGACCGCCCCCCGAGACCAGGAAAAGCTTAAATACGTTAAATTTATCTTCGCTCTCAAGGCTAGCCACTGTAGCTGATTCGTCTATGACGCGCTAGGCTTGTGGCGATGCATACTCTGTTTCTCACTGAGACGTAACGGTTAGGTGCACATACATCATGGTCTGGGGGCCGTAGTGCATCTCCCCCTTAGACGGCCGTTAAGATGTGAGTTATGGGGGGGAGTTCTTCCTATAGCAACTGTCCTTGCACCTTTCGTAGTTGTAACTATGCTGTATATTGCAGCCGGTTGTATAACCAGGTTAGATTGTGGCATAGGCTGGATGATCTCTTTTACGTTCTTTCCCAAATTTTTTTTTTGGCGTGCTTTCCAAATTTTTCTTTTGCATACAAAAAACACTGTTATTAAACATATATGGAACGGATATGGTTCGAAAAAAAATTTATATCGACTAAAAACCACCTTAATTAACCCCTGAATACTCTCCCCAGTCTCTGCATGGCTGAGTCTCTGAATTAAACAATACCAGAGATCATTCATAAACATCAAACATTTGTTTTATTAGATCAGCATTTTCATCAACTTTACAGCAGTAAAACATCGATTGCGTTTTCGCCGTGATAATTTTAACAAAAGGACTACAAGATGAAATCATGAGATGGTGGTAGACTGCACCATCAGACATTAGGGCAATAACAAGGGTGGTAGGCCCAAGCATTCTAGGAGCCTATTAAGCAATACGTTATACGTATGGGAACACAGTAAAGACCTAAATTTCTATCGTTCTAGAATGCTATCTGCGTTTAAAGTATGGCGACCTTTCAGATACCAATCTCGCAGTGCCATATCTTCGCTCGTGATTCCTTTTTTTTTGCTTTGGAGGAAAGGTCGTTTCAGTGAAACAATAGATTTCACTGGGTCGTACAGCTGTGCAGAATAGAATGAATCAATAGATCACACTGACACTTTTGCATTTTCAGTGACACTTTTTCTGGGCTCCGTTGAACAAAATCAACCAGACAGTTGTTTCTTTCAACTGAAATACATCAACTCCATCACACTAGAATAGCGTGGTTATGGCCTTAACAATTGTAACGAGTTGATCACGAGGTGCAATCATGTATGTCGTGAGATAAAGACTGTTTGAACCAGTTCTTTTTCTTTGAGAAATACGTAAATGAGTACCTGACTCAATAGACTGGCTAGCGTAGAGTTGGGAATCCACGGGGATACTCGATGATGGTGCCTGTGTTTTTAGATGTTGGTTAAAACCAGTGAAACAGGACATTCACTCAGGATGGAGGAATGACGTCGAAGAGACTGTGTACGAAGATCACCATGCAGTATTTCAATTTGCTGCGTCATTCATAATAATTCCTTTACAAATTGACCCTGACCTCAAAAAGATCCTTGGCTCCTCCTTGTTTTCTATTTCATTGAAGTTCTCCAAAGTTTTCCAGCATTTCAGGCGTAAACAATAACAACAAGATTTCATCATTTCAAGTATTTTTCCGCCTCTCACTTCCCTGGGATTTACCATGATCACAAGACTAAACATTTCCTGCATTAGGCCGGGGAAAATTCAGCTTCACGATGGATTCATTTATCCGACTGAGCTTGTGCATTGCAACGGTTACAGTTTTCTCAACTTGAAAATCTCGCTTGCAAAGCAGTTTGTTACTTAGTTGCAAACATATTGCAACACTTTGTATGATACAAAATGAATGTTTCATTTAGGGATGAAGTTTCATGTTTCATGCCATTGGAGTTTTGTAGTTTTGAGCGTTCTCGCTGTGTGGTCTAGCTGTGCCGACTGTGCGTGATTCATAGCATTTCTTTAAGTGCAAAGGAAATGAGGAAACTTCCCGCACTAAGTGTTCCACAGTCATAATAACATAATATTACAATACGTGTACGTTATAACTCTCTATAGTATGATGACGTCCTGTGGTGTGGGATTATAAGTAATATAGAGTTATAATATGCATGAAATTGATTATTCAGAGCTCGTTATCGTTCGTGATGATTTTCACGATCAATTCTCGACATGCAATCTTTCATTCTTAAGGCGGCTCTCCAATTTCTTGTCAATTGAGACCTGTCAAGTGGTGAACGGATTCGGCTACGCTCGAATTCTCGCATTTAAGGATAAAATTTGACTCCCCTATTTGAAAACCCCCCTCACTAAAGACTATTTAGAGCAAAATTTCCAAAGAATTCCAGACAGGTTTGGAGTTTATCAAATATTTCGCTTCTGACGTAATGATGAGGATCTAATTCAGCTGGGCAAAGGCTGATTTAGTTAAATTTACTTTCTCGGCAATTTGACTTTAGAAATTGCAACGTGTAGTGATCAATGAGGCCTTGCAGTAATTAAAGATGTAAATATACTTATTGACGAAAATTGTTCATTTTTGTCCCGTCATGATTGCCGTTTCATCAACGCCATCTTTGTTCATAGGTTTTATGGAAAGTACAAAGGCTTCCGTTATGTTATATAACCAATGATTATTAAATGTTCCTGTCACGTTTCAGGAAAGTCCTCGAACAACACTTTAACGGTTCCTATCTGAAAAAAAGAGATGATAGACACCTTAGTTTTCCATCGAATTCCGTATAGATTTGCATAAATTTCATTCAAAGTCGTCCAAACAATATTGAAAGAAAATGGTAGGCAAAGATGTTTAAAGTGTCGTGTTTTTGTACTTTAGTGAACGATAATCAATTTCAAAAAAGCACGAAAAGAAGAAACTTTTGTCAGTTGAAAGAAGTTGTCATTTTATCTTCCGGAAATTGCGCAACTAAGATCTTTTTGTAATTCACCAATGCTTCTTTGTAGGTTCCTGGTTTTCGTCAACCTCGTACCCAGGGTTTTCAGGTTGGATAAATGAGAATGCTAGAGACAAAACTGGGGGGGAGGTGTATTATGATAGCATTCATTAGGAATTTTCACCCTTGTTTTTGTCGGTGTTAGTTTCAGCACTCATCAAACTACTTTTGGTACCTTCTATATCCAAGAGCCGATATTTTAATGGAATATTGCTTTTTTTAAACATGTAATTTAAGTCTTTAAACCATGCATGACGGGCAATGCCCTGAAGATATATATTCCATATTAGTAGTTATACCGATGGGCGATATTCTTTGATTTAAAGGGGATAAGTATCTACTGGAATTCCATGTCACGCTATCGTGACACCATATACAACCATCCACAACATTTACACGCATTATTTATACCACTAGCGCATTTATCCTCCAGCAGAATTTTAATATCGAAAAGATTTAAAGAATGGGGCGTAACCTTGTTAAATTCTCTTTGAATTGAGTTTGCTTAATGAGTCAGCATCAGATTGCTAACAATCGTATTGCACTGAAAAGTATTTTGTATTAAACATTCTCTTAAGTCGCCTCCGTGACTCAGCGTTACTTCAGCTGGAGAATTGCACTCTTGGACGGACTATTCCAGCACATTTAAAATCACGCAGCTAAAGAGCTGGAAAGGTCCTTTACAGCTGTAGACAAGCGTCTTCAAAATTAGTCTTTGTTGTAGTCCGCTAACAAATATGCATCATGTGATTCATGTCTTGTGCCACGAAAATTTGCTGAAACGTGTCTTTTTCAGCGCAATTTAGCTTTAACGATCATTTGAGCTAAAACCACAAATATGTCCCAATCAAAAAACCGCAAATTAATAATGCTGCAATTATAAATTGAATGAAGATAAAAATATATCTACTTGGCATTCCGCAATTAAATTCAACACACCCCAGCTAGATCAGGTATTTTTACCAGACTAGGGTTTACAAACGATTTGGCATGTCTCTCTTCAGTTTCCCCTGTCTTGTCCGTTTAGTCTTTTTCACCAAGGATAAAAAAACATGGAGCCAACCAGCTTTCTGTCATTTAATCCAATTTGCAGGTGCACGCGAGACATTCTCTTGAAGACTCGAGGCTTTATTTATAAAAGCTGCGTGCAAGCAGCATATAGCTTCGTTCCCAAACCAAAATCGTCTAAAAAAAGCACCTTTTCAATTCAAATGTACCTTAGGCTCTCAAAGTATTTCGGGCTAATTTTTTCAGTTTGATTTCATTGATGATTGTGAGATTAATGCTTGAGTTTGTAATATGATTTGTTTCTTATAGGATTTGGCAAAGATTACAAGACGAGGATGTTCACTAATACTGCATTGAACATGTTCAGTGGATTTTAGTTTAGCAACAACATCATGGTAACATGTAATTTTGTTTATATTCCATTAAACTCACTTCCTGCAATTACCCATAAATGTCACAATTAAACACTCCAAATGCCTAAAATTGGAACATATTTTGGTCAATTGAATATATAGTTTATATTCAATTGAATGTATAGTTTATATACAGTACGTACATATAATATATGTCTGTTCTTAAATACTTTGTTGTTACACTGTTGAATATTTTATATGTGTTGGAAGCTGCCAGTAGAGTCTAGTTGATTACGATAAGGCCACTTCAGGCAGTCGACCAATAATATAAACGCATGTTTTGATAATTGATTTATCCACTTATAAAAAATGCCGATCGGATATAAATTGCAATTCCACTCAGAGAGAGCGGTGTACAAGTTTGCTATCGATGTTGTCTTGAAACCAACTAGTGGTTATATATTGCATTTGCTTTGGAAAAAAGAGGTATTGAGGTATCTTTACAAAGGTATTGTTGCAATAACCTGTTGAAATTTATTCAAACTATTGTCAAATTATTTATTTGTCTAGTGCAAATCCTATTCAATTGCATTTAACACCTAAAACTATATATAGATGAAATAAATGTTTGAATTTAAAGATAGCTGTTATAGCTACCTATAATGGTTCGTTCACTTGCATAATGGATGATAATATGAATATGGTTTCGTAAATGATGGATCAGTTTAAGCAACGTGTATTCGTTCGTTATGGCTAGTGATAATTAAATTATCGAGAAACATGCAGTAAAGGCATGCACAGGTACATTTCCTAGTTTATTGAGGCGATAAAGATTAGAGAAAGATCAGAGTTTGAGTTACTCAAATATATTATTTCAAAGAGTTGACTGAACTTACACAGATGATCTCTCGTATGTTTTCTTATCCTCAATTTGGGATACAAGATCCGAGGTGGGATTCTTCACCCCCTAGCTAGTGGCAACTCATAATCACTCACTCAAAAACTTGCCATTAATACCACAGTTCTCTCCTGGTAATCACACTGATTGTTATGTAAACATCATTACATTTATTAATTGCCTCAATAATCGCCTCGATAATTCATGTTTACTGTGTATTTGTGTTTTACTCAACTCGGTAAAGTTCCGTGCCACTTTAATGAAACAATATTATGATCATGCATTTTTCATTAGAATTTTCTAGAAAACCAGTGAATTACTTTATATGTACATACTTTATGTCTTTTGCAACGAATGTTAGAAAGATTTTTTTTAGGAGATGACAATATGTGATCGATGTAAGGGATTGTCTGGGTTACGATACATTAACCGGGGTGGTAAATGATCGGAAGGTCTCACGGAAAAGTTATAAATAAATCGTGACAATAATCAAAAAAGGAATGACTTCATTTTATTGTGAAATTAATCCCCCGATATTGAGAAATTTCACGAGAATAATAAACGTTTTCTTATCTATATATTCGTATAAAACTCTCGAATCCAATTCCTATGTAAAGATAGAAAAAGAGTGTTCTCGAAATTTCTCCTGCGTGGCGTATGGACTCTTAGAGTCTTCTTAGACTCAATATTTAATATATTTCTTTTTACATAAACATGGTAAAAAATATCCAGACTTTGAAAGACAAGTGTTAGGAATGGTATTGTTTTGAAATAAAAATTGTCTTGCCTTGCGTTAGTTGTTACCGCTGTCCATGCATGATGTGGTAAATTGGAAATATCATTTCGTGGCCAGCTCATGCAGTTTCTAGTATTGATAGATGCAACTCTTGCGTGTGTTCAGCTTCTAGTCAGATAATCAGATTAAAAGAAAAGCCATTGATTTTACGCAGAAGTGAATTATTTAGTTCGAAGCAAATATCGTTTTTTTCAAGCTGAAACGAAAGCCCCCACTTGAGACTTCTTTACCGGATATCCCACGCAAAATTACACATATTTCGTTACAATGCCTTAGAAAATAGAAATAGATTTATATTTGTATAGAATACTCGAGATTTATTTCAATTCATTCATTCCGATGATAATATATTTAAATTCGTTCCTTTCATTTCTAAACTGCTTATTCTGTCTTCCGTTCGACGAAGTGAAAACTTTGTGTTCTTTCAACGTTTCATGTCGATACATTCGAAGATATTAAAAGCCAAATAATGACCTCTCTCTTATGATTTTCTTGTTTAACTTGTTTTAATAGAACAATTACGATCAAACGGTGGGCATGTTTTGTTGTAAACAACACTGAGGATCGTGAGACTGCCCACACTTGGTGAGAATGATATTGCGGAAATCAAGCAGGTTCATTTCACAAGTAGCATGTCACAGCAGATCATTTTTATTCGAGAGTCGTCAGGATGAGATAAGGAATTGGTTTCTGTTCGTTTGGTGACCGAAAGATTGAAATATGTGGATAGATTGGGATTATTTTGTGGATAGGTAACCAAAATGGATAGGTCACTTATGATACCAACATTTGTATTTTCACACGCTATTGACCTTCATCAAGAACGAGTATACTGCTCGTCACGAGCATCAACTATCGACTAGGTCAATATTTTGTTGTTTCTTATCGATTCCTCTTTGCACTGTTTCAAGAATATCTTTGAAAAATGCATAAAAACAACCAAATTGAAATTCTAAACTTATTGCTTGATTTCGCACTCGCAAGTTTGTGTTGGTCTCAGGAACACTTGAAGACAGTGTTATCATACTGTCGCCGGTGGTTTTGTTATTAAAGTGTTTTTTAATCAAACTGCAATTCAGTTGATTAATTTGTTATGTCAGTTTTCACCTGTACGTGCAAGTTCATTGAAGGTTATTGTAAAAATCTGGCTCCGTTTCATGACAATACCAGAATGACCTCCATCCATCACATCACCTCATGATGTGACTAATATTTAATGCTCAGTTTCAAAGGCACTTTAGACAAAATTGGGAATCTGTCAAAACACAAGTTCAATGACGATGAAATTACTGACTGAGAATCAACACATTCTGGTCTTGAGCCAGTGCCAGAGGTCCTGGGTACGAACATTCCACGGAGATGTTGAAATCAGACAGTCTGCATGTGCGTCATTGTTTTCATATAACTAAGTACAATTCCTGAAGATGATTTAATATTGAGTATTATTTGAGGAGAATTGGCACTAAAACGAGACGAAATAATAATTGATGATCTTGAATGATATTAAATTGATGACCTCACTAACGTCCTGTGTCGCTTCATAAACTAAACCTTTTCTGTTGTTTTGCTTCGTTACTTGCGTAAAGAATTACAACAAGCTTTATTTTCCTCCATTGCTATTTGGCAATCATTCAGTTACGATTAAAGATCTTTTATAAAGTAGTTACGATCCTTCAAGATAATGACATAATTATTGCAAATATGGGGAAATCTGAAGTATAAATGTCTGTCTTCTTTCAGTTGAGAAACTTAGTTTTAAAGAGCGCGGCACTTTTACAATTAAATTGTTATTGCTCATGTTATGATTGTCAGCTTTCAACAGCTTTAGGAATTCAAGTTATCCTCTCGTTAGAATTCGCTTCATACTGAGAGGTATCACGAGCTATCATAAAGTATCCATTTATATCATCTTGAATTCATATGACATATGAATCCTGCTGCATTATTTATAGTTTAATTTTAGTGAATTACAATAAAGATCACATTCAGTTACTGTGAGGTCAATTCTCAAACGACTTGAAGAGAATGATGCAATTATCCTTAAGTGAATGAGAACGTCTAAAATACAACTAAATTTTACCGCAGTTGCTAGTACAGTTCACTTCGCTCTCATTGTTAACGGTGTCCAATTAAAGTGAATTTCATATCTGTACACAGATATCCATGAATGCTGATGATTGTCCTCATACTGTGTCAGTTCAGTTGTGAAGTACCGTCATAGAGACGATTTATATATGAAAGCCAGAGGCTAACTCAATAGCTCAGTTATTAGAATTCAATCGTTATTTCATTAATCAGTTAATTTTTGACTAATTACTATATCATTGACTGATCAATAAATAATTGAGTTATTACGGTTACCTTATTGGCTCGTTAGACTCAGATAATCATTTGTATATTTGATGGTGGTAGAGCGGTCTTCATAATTCAGTAACACGGGCTTTGGCAAAAGGTAGATGCAACTCTTCTCATATTATATTTTAATTCGCTTGTTATGTAACATAATTTAGGAACATTGCTTCGTATTCTTAACATGAAAACACCCAGAACTACAGACAACTCTGTTCAAATAATTTGGTCGTTCATTTCAAAAATATATCAAATGTCCTGATTTGTTGCGGAAACCTCAAGTTCATTTCTTAATCCTTCATAACTTTGGTTCACTGTTTGGTTCAACAATTAGATTTTGACGTTCTTATCAGATCTTTAGTCATGTAACAATTAATTTTCTTGATTAAAGTTGTTTGTTTAAACAAGGAAAATCCGGGATACATTCAATAACGCCCGTTGACTGGAATGTAGATTTTTCAATTCCCTGTATTGAAATACCACGCCCACTGACTCGAAAACAATTACTGGATGGAGCTCCTACATGTAATTATTGCATTATACACACACCAGTCACGTCCCTGTTGAATTTATTAAAAACGATGGGGAAATTGATGTTCTAATGCTTCGTTTAATTTCAGTGTACAAGATCGAAGTATATTTAACATATCTTGTACATTACTGACTTTTTAACGGAGACATAAGGTTTTTAAACGCTGTAAATTTACGAGGGAAAGGGCAAATGTGTGTGAGACAGAAGGTGGGGCAAGGGTGGGTGTGGCGAGGGTTGGCTCAGAGTGTGGTGGGGTCAAACACAAAACAGAACCAGCGTGTTGGGATTTTGACAATAACTAGAAGAGGAAAAACTCCCTCAGAGCTGGCGTGAGATTGACGTAAAAAGTATTTCTAAAATTTTCAAATTTCCGTCTTAAAACTTTCTCAATGTTGCAATCTTTTACAATAGTTGAAACGTGAAAGAGCGCGCAGTCCAGCATATTGCTTGTCATCACATTCCGTAACGGAATAAAGACCAGAAAAATATTTAACCTTGGAATTTCCATGGAAATATTTCGATCTCTAAAGCGATATTTGTTCCATTTAAAAGGACCTTTCGGTCTCTTTCTGTAGAATATTTCTAAATCCCGTGAAATATTAGCAAGTGGTTAAGGAAGACATCCCACCCACCCATAATAATGAATGTTATGAAACACCCTGAGGGTAAACTGTGTCATATAATACAATCGATCTTTTACGCGGATATAACTCTCCATTTTCTCATCATAAACTATATAATTTCCTTCCGGTAATTATTTTCATTTATATATATATAGAGGACGGGATCGTGCTACATCAGAACACATCTCATGAGAAGAGAGAAAACTAATCGTTACAAGGAATTGTCTTGGATATAAAACGAAGAAACGAAAGTATTTGTAAAGCGGTATGTTATAAAAATTGTATTCGACTATTCGTATCTGCCTTAAACTAAAACAGTTTAAACCATTATCTTTGATTGTAATGACATTCAGGCCAAGGCCCGACCCGAATTTACATAACACAAGTGTGTGTTCTTTTCAAAGTATATGAGCAGTTGTCAACAACTTTTACGACGATGCATGGCTCTATACAAATTAATGAATATTTGCTTGTTTGTTTAAAAATCATTTAGTAACAATCATGCACATATATCTATATATATATGAACCGTTAATTGAAGAGTTATAATAAAAAGCTGTATAGGTTTCGACATATATATAATTACTCAGGAAATTACGTATCTTATGTTTGCGTAATTCAAACTGCGATAAGCAGTTTCCTTGAAGACGAATTCGGTGAGATGAATTTGCGTCTTTTAAATCTGAACATGCATGGGTTTCTGTTGTGACGGAATTAGAAAATATGGCTGCATGTCCGAGGGCGAGATAGACAAATGATTTAGCGTACGTTTATGTTGGGACATGCACAAAGAAGTATATAGGAATTAGGAAGTTGATTTAAAGATTTAAATATACTCTTCATACGTCCGATTTCCTGATGTTTCAGTTGTATTTGCTTATATGTTTCGTTTATTTGTTTTCAAAAAACTGTTTCATTGTGCTTCATAATAGGAAATTTCAATTATATTTAATCCATAAGTAAACATCTATATATCCCAGCTCAGGAAACAGTTCCGAAAATACTCACGCGCTCTCTGTTGATCAGGAATAAATGGATTATTGCCTTTAAATCCTGGGTACTTTATGTTATAGCAATTTGATGAAAGGATATTTTAAACTTATGACACCAGTCTACGTGTAGTTGTATATAATAGAGGCTATCTAACGATGATTGAGAGATCTTGAAATACGTTTTTAGCATTTTTTTACCGTTTTACGTTGGTCTTTGGCGTCTTGTATATTGAGTGCTGATGTCATAACCCCTTTTATATGGAATATTTTTACTGAGAGAGTTTTTTTTAACTGACAAATGTTACAATTATATAGATATGATATAAGAAATATAACAAGTCAGTGTCATACATTCCAATTGGATATTAAGAATCATTCAGTGACAAAATTTGTGTTTAATAAGAACCTCATGCAGTACACATTCAGGCATTCTGACGGCTTTGCGACAGCTGGGCTGGCTGCGCAGAGTCGGATATTTTCAAAGCGTCTAAGAGCATCTGAAAAAGTTAAAAAATGAAATGGGAAGTGTTTATTAGGACAATGTCTGATTAAAACATTGATTAAATTGATTAAAACATTGATTAAATTGATTAAAACATTGATTAAATTGATTAAAACATTGATTAAATTGATTAAAACATTGATTAAATTGATTAAAACATTGATTAAATAGTGACAAAATCACTGCAAAAAATTGCATCACGTATATTTAGGAATATATATATATCACGAATAAACACGATTTATATCAGATCTGGGCCGCGAGTGATTTACACTGAACATATATTGTTCTGATTAAATCATGCAGTCATCAATCGCGGCCAATTGCGTTGGGATCGTCAATCAGGTAGACCGGCGGATGAAACTCTACTTCCATGAAGGAAAAAGAGCGGTTCCTAGCAATCGTTCCTCTCTAAGATAGGGCAGGATGAAACTATAATCACAATGAGATTGCATTCCATTGCATTGCAGCGGTCTGTCTTTCTTCCAGTGCCCATGCATGTACTTGCACTCTAAGATTAAGAAAAACCTTTAATAAGGAACACCTTTTTGGTTTGGGAAGTGGTTACGTTTTTCGCGGAGTCATTATAATGTCAGAAAAATCTGTATGATGTCGCGTCGAGTTATAGGTGCGTCAGCGTGAATTGTATCCTAGAAAAATCTCTTTGACGTTGTGATTCCTGAAATTCTCTTGCTGTTGGTCCATGCACAGATCTGCTTTTTGGCTAAGCTTCAGCCAGAAGACGCACAAAAGCGGATAAAGTCGTTTTGTCTGTGGTAAACGGAATGTCCGTTCATCCACGTAAGAGAGGAACGCCGGTTCGAGGTTTCTCGTAGTAATGACGCAGAGATAGTTGATTGTTAGCGCCAGGTTCAAGCCTCCGCAATATACTAAAGCCAATAGACTTGCCAATCGCAGAAGTCAACCTCAAGGACACAGATAAAATTGGCTGCAAGTTGCATGGTTAAGGACGCTGAAGGTGATGGCGCAGACGAAAAACAAACTCCTTCAAATAAATAACTTTACGAGTCTATAAAGAGAACCTTGCATGTCGCGCATATTTATCGCAGTAAATTTAATACCCTGTTTGGCTGCGGAAATTTGAAATATTGCGAGGGAAGGAATGTTATAAAAGTTGTTTAATACGAGGGCGAGGCATCACATACTTGACATGAATCTCATTTGAGGATTGTTTAATTAACTCAGTGATGGAAGCATGAATGAAATCGAGCCAGACTCTCGCACCCAAAGTTCTGCACCCTTCAGTATCTTCGGCGCAGTTTTCCTCATTATCAGTTTCGGGCAATCGGTCGAGATGAGCCATCTCAGCGTATCGTGAAGCACTCTTTACTCAATTACTTAAGCTCCTTGAGCAGAAAAACAAAAACAATACCGTAGTAAAATATTTTCCACTTCAAACTATTCGGGTAGGGGGGGGTAGCTATCACGCGCTAAAAGCAAGTATAAGCAGTTTGAAAAACAATCTTCAAGGAGTAGCTTAATTTCTCAATTATGTTTCAAGTGTAGTTCAGCTGTAAGCCAGTATTATCACGCAAACAAGTGTTGAGACTTTTGTTTCGGTATAAATTACACCCCTGCAAAATAGTTTTGGGTTACGGTTTGGCTGTTTAAGAAAGACATAATAAAGACGTGGACGACTTTCTCTTGGGGTAAATACGATTTTTGTTCTCGTTATACTACAACATTCAAAATAAAGCTTTCAAGGAAATGAAGGTTCTTTTGCCTTCCAGAGTAACTTTATATAATGGATAGTTAGTTGCTACGGACGTCGTGAGAATTCCTTTGGAGTATTGTGACAAAAAATATTATAAGATATTCTTTAACTAACTTATACTGATAATACATCTCCATGCACTTTCAACGTGACTGACTCCATCTTATCTTACAATCTTTTAAGTTTATGTTTTTTTTGTTGGCACACCTGAGCTCTGGAGTTTTCTTTCATAGAAAGTGCATGATTGATCTGTCTGTCTCGTGCATGGGGTCATCAGTCATGGGCAGTAAGATAACACATTAAGATTACTGCCTAAAAAATAACGTTTTGAGCGAAGTTTTTTCCGGAGGATGACAGAAATATCATCATAAGTTCGTTTGATGATAACATAAAATTTAAAACCACGCAACAACACCCCTTCTATTGCCTTCTAATATGGGTTCATATTGGAGGAAGACGTTGTCGGATGACGACTTTTAGCAGATGCTTGACCAACTCATTAGAATGACAGCTGTAAGAAATTACTGCATGCGATAATCCATGCACGATAGGAAACATATCCATTTTACATGATGTCATGCATGATGATGTCATGCAGTCTTCGCTTCCCGATGAACCGCGTGTGATGTACACAATCCTAGAAAAGGAATAAAAGCAAGGAAAGGTGTTACATCCTTCCAGACCTTCCTCGTATAACCTGCTGATTCATAAGTAACCCCACGCACGCATGTTGTAGTAATTCTTTCAGCAAGATCCAGTCAATCGCTCGTGCCAAACAATCGCTGCAACAAGAAATTGTGGGAAAATACACATAATCACCTAATCCCACACCCCCCCCTGTGTTTTTCAAAAGATTAACGGAAATTAGACACAGAAAATTGTATATCTTCTAAGGTAATAAAGCAAGCCAATTATTGGACTATTGTTTTCTTTATTGGGCGTCGTTGATGAAACGGATACGTCCATACGTATTATGGCGTTATGTGATCCTAAGAATTTGTATTTTGTCGTTCTTTGTATGAATTCACGGACAAGGTGGAGAATGTCGTACACACATTTATACTTCCGCGTTTTTTTGCGTCTTATCGGAGGGTCAGAGAAAGGACATATCTAAGTTATTAACACTAGAACTTCGTAGCCAAAAAGTTGAAGTGTTAACACCAAAAATAAACGTACCTTCTAAATAAAACTTCAGGTTCAATATCATGTGTTAAAAATTTGAATTTTAAAATGTTTTTACTCTTTAATTCAATGGAAAACAAAGTTACAAGATTCCTTCGCACTTCGCGGGGCCATCTGTGTCATTTGTTGGTTAGATCCACGCTTAATGATATATGACATGATAAACTATAGCATCATCAAGCATTAGGTCAAACACAGGCTCCTTTGCTCTCATGGATAAATTCTTTTCAAAGTTTCCTTCTTGGATTCCAGGACACAAACAAGGAAATTCATGCAACGTTTGTTATGTCAGAACACGACTACCTTCTTCAAGATGAAACGCCGGGCAGTTTTTTTAGAAAAGCCCAGTTTTTTTAGAAAAGCCATGCAGTTTTTTTAGAAAAGCGGTCTCGGTCACGATAATTTTTTCTGTGAATTCACACGAGAAACTGAAACAATCCAGGAAAAGGTGTCAATTGATAAGGAATTGTCTGTCTAATCCCTGCATGCATGTAAACATGAAAATATTTTTCTGTGAAGTCGAGACATCCGTGGCGTCCTTCATAGCTCCTTGTACGGTATCGAAAAACGTCAATATTTTGGGTAACCTTTCATGTTGGAACTAAGTCAATTTTGTCGATAATTTAGTGGAGTAAACAGCACGCACTCGCTTTTTTTCGAAACGTTTTTGTGTGAGAAATGGCACGGTGTTGAAGAATTGAGTATGTCTGTTCTTTGTTCGTTTCTTTATAAGATGAATAATTGTTTTAACAAACTATTTGAGAAGTTTTCAAGTGATATCACTTGAGTTCTTCTTTCAAACGCAGACTTGTTGATTGGCAGGATAAAGGAAATTGAGGTGTTTGATGTGTGTA